AATGGCTATCCCTCATCCAACCGACGAAAATCACAGGTTTCCAGTCCTGAAGAAAAGCAATAGAAATAAACATGTTGAACTTAATTCTTACCCAATATACATCCAAGTTCTATTTCCGGTTTATGCAATAATTTTCTAAAAGCTTTCAGTTGGGTCAAAAACGCAAGGCGATACTATTGACTACGCATATTATGACGTCCAAATTCTAATAACAGCACATGTATCTAGTCAAAAACAATTATCTGAAAGCGATACGAGGCTTATTCATGAATAACTCCTCTGCTCAGTGGGGTTTAGAAGAACTTAATTTGGTAAAAGACTCATGTAACGAAAACTTAATATTTGGAAACGAACAACGGAATCATTAAGACAATTATATAACCTAGTTAGAGAAAGAAAATAGCTCCTTAGTGTACCAATAAAAACTGTTAATTTAATTGATTATTAATTAATTTAAAAAAATGTTAAATTAATTCTGCCATATGTCATAGCGATTGTGATGGACAAATTTTTTATAATTTGGTATCAATACATCGGATCGTAAACATTTGATGAAGTCAGTATCTCAAGTGTAACTAAATACATCGTCAACTAAACAATGATAAAGGTTACGCATGAATTATGCAAAAAAGTTCTATGCTAGAACTTTTTTATGCTAAAGGGAAAAGCTAAAGCACAAGTTATTATTGAAAACGTGTTTGCCTTTCTATCCTGTCTCAAAAACTGAAATTTCTCTGTAGCAATCACCCTGACAATAGGTTATTTCCGGTTCTTTTAACTTCAAGCATCCTGTGGTTATTTCAGAAGGGTGTACCGTGAATATATAGTGAGAAGCTCTTATGACTTAACAAACCGCAATTCACTGTGAACTGTAGATACCCAATCGTTTAGATTAATTTTAAGGTTTTCCGTTTGACTGTTATCCTCTCTTAACTTCTCGAAGTGCTCAAAAAGTATTGCTTTTATCAGACTCTGTGGCTATTAAATGTTGATCTCTGCCTTATTAAGATATATTATTTATATGGTTGATGTGATACAAGGATTGAGCCTTGTGAAAGAGGTGAGGTAGGAAATGGGTAGTGCTGGATTGGACGATAAGCGTACACATTTTTAGTGTTAAACTGCCCCACTTTTATCGTAGACCATATGATTAAGGATGTTTAGGTTTACATTTAGATTACAATCTGGATTACAAGTATGTGCTATTTAGACGTACACATTTCTGAGTTCAAAAAACAAGTCCGTCAATCTCTTGTTGCTTCTTCTTTGTCGCTTGCATTCCACCCGCCTACTTAGTCCGCTCGATCCCTGAGATCCCTCTATTCTCTACTTTTTCTATCTCTCTATTTTGCCGGCAACGCTTCTAACGCAAAAGAACTGAAAAAAAAAGCCCGCATTCTCTTCGTTCCTTTCTGCACGTCCGTTCGTCCGAAAGAAGAAAAAATACCCCAATCGCAGACTCAAACGTCGCGCGCCCTTTCCACTGCGCTACCAGCATTGCCGCCGCCACTATTCTCGTCAATGACGTCGTAGACCCAGCCTTTAACGCATTCCTGGAAGTGAACCACAAGGATATCCTGCTCCTCTTACTACTACAACTGATAGCACTACCAGTATGGCTACAGTTCTCGTTTCGTCTATCATTGTCTGCTTCTTCTTCGTTCTGTTCTCTGCCTACCGAGAAGAGAGGCGTCTCCGCCACGGGGTTGCGTTCGTACCCCCACTACTGTCGTTTTTATCAACGCGTCGCCGCTATCGCCAACTTCACAAGTTGCCACAACGATGTCACGACGAAAACGACCGCTACATCCAGAATCCTCTTTCTACTCGTTGTTTCACTCTTTTTTCTTGCTTCCTTCCATCCTTTTCTCTTTATCTCCTCAACCAGCTCCACGCGCCATCTACCTCTCGTGCTTCTACAGTTTCTTCGATGCCCCTGTGCTTTTTTCCACATTTTTCCTTTTCCTCTTTCTTAGCCCTCCTCTTTGCAGTTTTTCAAATTTTCACATTCGACAAATCCACCCACTGGCCGTGAGATTCAATTTCTTCATATTTCCCTTTTTGCCCTACACAGCTGCCCCCTCCCCCTGCACGCCGTCAACTTTACTTCCACAGTTCTCGAAGCCCGTTTTGCTTTTTTCGTTCGCATTGCTAGGACGACCATACTCGACCACGCCCCATAAATGCGTGACTTTTTGAAAATCGCGCGGCTCGAAGAAGGCGAAAATGCCACTGCCTCAGATGCGGCGATGGAGTCGTCGCCACCGACTTGTTCTCGCCTCCTAGTGGCAAAGGGTTTGCCCAATTGCATTATTCGGTGCGCCCTATCCGGACTGTCCTGACCAGTACCGACGTTCTTGCCGAACGTCTCAAAGTATTCTTCCACACTATTTTCTACTTTTTGCTCCTTCACTAAATTGTCAAAGTGACGGAAACTGGAGATACGCATCTGGTGTCACAAACGGAGATGGCACACATGGCAATAGGAACCGGCCGTAGTACTAACGTCGACGGAGTAGCTTTTTGCATAGCAGCAGAAAAGCGGTAGAGAAAGCGTTTGTTTTGGCTTTTGCTGACTGAGTGGAAGTTCGGGGCTTATAGGTCACTTGGACCATTTCAGTTCTTCGCACTTTGAATGATTTCTAACTTCATGACATTTCGAGACAAGCACTCTAATTATACATTGTTACGTCTTAAGAAGCACAAACGCACTTGAAGCCAAGCAGGATTTTTAGAGCCATCTAACTATGTCTATTTTCATCCCGTTTAACTAAACTGTTATTCATTCGGTCTTTTGTTGCTGGGTGCGATTATTTTTTTTTAGATTGATATAGACGAAGGCAAAGTGGCTGATTGCCGGGGGAACGGTAGAAAGAATTAATAAAAGACGGTAAAGAACACAGAAGTCTGCATTATAGAGTCCACGAAGTTAATAAGATGATGATAGTAAAAGCATTCCAATTTACTTTGAATTAATTTATTTCACCGTAAACTGCCTCTAAATTATATCTAAGCTTTCATTAAAGTGGAAAGCGGGTTGGCGACCTCGTATGACCTTATATGGTCCGCCTATTGCTGTTTTAGTTACGTTTAGATAAGGCTCACGTATTAGACTGGGTTGTCGAAACAAATAAGTAATTGTAGTAAAAGATGTCTTCGCAAATGGAAAGCGAAAGTTTAAAGTTTACATCAATCAACCAATCCCCATTGTACGCTCTGTAACTCGACAACAAAGACAGCCAATAGCGCAAAAAGAGCGCAAACATAGGCACAGACAGGCGTTACACTCCATAGCATGTCAACCACCATTGGCACCCACTGTCCGCTTGACACAAGACAATGCCATTGATAATAGCTTTAACTGGATCAGTCGTAGCAGTAGTTAATGTCATGTGACTATCGATAAAGCTGATGGACATCATTTTCATGTTGCTAAGCGGTTGGTGCAAAGAACCCCCCCTCAACCTTAAAAAGAAATCCGAGGTTTACCATAACTAAACACTTATTTGCACAATAGACCGATAGAAATTTAAGGTTATTAGGAGCCATCCATATTTATCTATCAAGCATAAGCCTTTCGGATGTTCGATAATAACATAGCCACATTGAGAAAACTGTCTAGTATTATGTCCTTATTAGTTCGCTTTTAACACTTGCAGGTGATTCTTATAATGCTACAATAGTGATTTTTTATTTTACCTTCATAATCAATTGCTTTCCATTTGCGAAGAGATCTTTTACTACAATTACCTATTTGTTTCGACAACCCAGTTTAGTACGGTGAGTCTTAACTAGTTTAGAATCTGATGGATTTGATCTCACCTTGAATAGCGGTATGTTTTGTAGCACTGTTGTGTCAAAAAATATGATTGCGACCGAGCAAACTGGGCTCCCGAACGGCGAGTAATCGATGTCACTTTAATGGCTCTTATGACTTATCAGGGGCAAGATAAAGAATAATCCCGCTTAATCTTTGCTAGTTTTGCTAAAAACAACTGTTAATTATCTGTAGATAATTTTATTCCTGCGTAGCCAACCTTGTTTAGAGAAAGCTACATACCCAATATACCGTTGCATTTGCCTTAATGTGATGCTTAACGTCGCCGCACGTAAAGAAAAAGCTATAAACAAGTCCCAAATATGACATACCTTCGGAATCCTTTATCTCGTTAAGCTACCATTGTCGATGCCCATTAATGGAGGCCTTTTCTCGTCGCAACTGTTTTCATTTTTGAACTTTTTTTTTGTCCATCAGGTTCCCATTATTTTGTTTCTTGAAAAATTAGGAGTGACCCGGGGAAAATTTGTTATGTACTAAGGGACCTCGTCGATTCTAACACTTGGTTTGGGCAAATTTTTTTTTATGGATAGCTTTTTTGAAGCACCAGGTGGCGCTCAATTAGCGTCGCATATGCCTATTTTTCAGTCGATTGTTCTTTCAACCTTCGCCAAGATATTCTTCGATTTCCCTTTAAATCTAGTTTTCCCTGACCATTTCGAAAGCGGCGCGCTATGTAAATGTATAATACATTTGACCCGAAAGCTTGGAGCAACTCTATGGAACCTACCCATGAGTACCAAGACAGGATCCATGCGCTTTATACAATAAATTGTAGTGTTTATACAGTAAACACTACAATATAACACTGTATCGGTTTCCAACCAAAAAAAGAGAACTTTCGCGAGAACTTTACATATGGGCGTTTCGGAAGAAGGTATTAACGTGCATGCGTCGAACAAAAAGCGTTATTTATTCCCAATCTGTCTGTTGTTCTTTAAAATATCATTGGATAAACGAAAATGATTCTTAAGCTGCAAATGATCCTAGATAAGTTATTAATATTTCTAAGATAGGCTCACTTATAGGATCTTAGAATTAACCAGCCATAGAATTAACTAACTTTTCTAAATATACACTTACATTACTAAAACCAATAGGTACTGTAAAATAATATACAACTTTCGTTTTAAATTTATTTATCGATTATTTTCCACTTAAAAGTAATTTTGAAAAATGAGCTATTGACCAGCTTTTGAACATTAACGTATCGTCATTTGTTGCATTAAGTTCGCTACCGTGGTGTCACTGGGGTGCCACCTACGTCGTTTCGAGCCGTTTAGAGGGCATTTTTGCCAGTACGCAAATCAGAGGTGACATATAATGATTTTGAGCGCCTACATAAATGCCAAATGGCCAAATTAATTAATTATAACAAACATCTACAAGAATGGATTCATTATTTGTTTCCAACTTCGTTCGTTTTTTGTTAGTCATCAACTTCCACGCTCCTCATAGTTAGATAAATTGTTGTGGGTTGACTTAGCTTAGTGATTTATGTAATCGCGATATAATGATCAGTTCATAAGTTCAGTTCTATTATAATTCTCTGTCAGTTTTCTTTCAATTTTTCAATTCTTAATTGAAAATGAAGATGTTACAATTTTTGGTATAAAATATATTCGGAGTAGACCTTAGCTAACTGAGGGAACGCATTTTCGAAATATACTTTAACAGGTTTCAGAGGTAACAGGTAAAGAAAATCTCTAAGGAATTCCAACTATACTAAATATAATTGTCCGTTGTGTCCTCCTCTAGCAACGTCTAAAAAAAAATTTGAACTATAATTATTTCTTATCAAGTAGACAGTTACCAAACACGAAGTGGCGTTTTTTCATTAAATAAATGGCAGTAATTTCTATTAGATCCAGTTGGAAAATTCTATATCTGCTAGTTAGGCTCTTCCTTTTTGTATGACCTCGTATATATTCCTTCAGAATTTATACCAACAACATGGTTGCAAAATTGGTGGTGACTTATATGACCGGACTGGGCATATTCAAACCTCGGGCAAGATATTCTATATTCTGATGATGCTGTCGGCGCCTCTGTAGATCTTTCCATCTGTCTAACTTAATAACTTTTACTTTATTAATAATAATAATGCGACACGGCAATAATAGTTATAGTTCTGCCCTCGGAAACAGCACAACGCTAACGGACGACTCGTGTACCCGGCGAAATACCTGCGCTGTTGAAGTAGACGCTTTAGCCATAGCTGAGTAACTACAAGTTTCCGCAAAAACACAATGACAACATCTTTGCGATACTTAGGCACCTACGAATATCGGCTCTAAATACGGAAAACAATCGTTTCTTGGAGATGAAAGTTGTTCGTTTAATGGAATGCTAAAATTGTTTCAAATATGGAACTTGAAAAATATCTTTTTGGTAATTAAGCCACTTAAAATGAATTCGGGACTTACCAGGAGTTTTGTGCCTTGTACAATTCAACTTAGATAAACTTAAAAAAAAAAAAAATATATATATATATATATATATATATACATGTATTAGATATACCAGAGAGTAATTTAGCTCACTTTAGATACTGCAATCTTTTCTATACAGTAGTTTCTTCATATTAAGTCGTTATTTTGGTTTCCCGGAATATTCCTTTTTGTCCCAACAATACGCAGCTTTTTGAGGAACGAAAGACCCACTTATGAATACGACTCACTCTGCTTAAACTTCAGTTTTGCAGTTGGTTAGTTATTCTGTTACCCTTATTTAGATACTCCACTACCGCGTCCTAATCATCCAGAGACTCTAAAATAGCTATCTTATACCCACTATCTATTTTCCAGCGCTATTAGCTCATGCAATATTTATAAATACGGATGTTGCTTAGTTCATGGTACTTGTTAATCTATACAAGCTATTTTACATTCGTTCCACACTGATTATTATGTAATAGATGCTCTTACTGAGATCATATTTTTTTCCTAAAAAGTGACTGTAACGAAAGCCACTTACATAAACACGTAATTTATCTTATCGGTTGTCTCATGGAAGACGAAGATATGACGACAAAATAATTCAAGCCCGGCATAGGCTATTGCGTTTGAAAAATATTAAAGGTTTTTTGTGTAGTTTTAATAAAAAATGCAACTAAAATCTAACGTTGTTATGCTCTACTTTTAAGCCCTGTAACCTAGACCAAACCACATATAAGTAACTGTCTGTTAGTTTTCGTTCGACGAAGCTTTCATATTTTCCTCTCTGAGAAAAACTAATGCCAGTCCATCCATGCACTGGATTCGGCCGTAGCGTAGGTGGCTTGTGAAGCAGTTACATTAGTTCAACACTTAATCATTATAAATGTTATCAATTAAAAAGAAGACTTCGCTAGTTGGGTGGCCTTCAATACGTGTACATAAACTCGATTTATGTCACTTACAGTTTGGACTGGTGTGCATAGCAATGCTGATGAAACATATACACAAAAAATAGCGACAATAATGATTCTTTTATATATTTGTCTTGATGTTTTTTTTATGACAAACAGTTCACACAGTAGTAAGTAGGTAGGGTAACTTGTTTTACCTAAAAACAAGTACTCTTTATAGCGCGAGAACGTTATCGTAGAAGTTTGATGTAGTCATTTTCAAATCAGATATCATATTTACAGAACAACACTAATACCTCAATGTTGCTTAATGATTATTGTTACACTGATCTCTTTCGCTCGCCTAGTGCATACAATATTATGACGTCAATACATATATAAAGATTTGCCTATTTTAAAATGCATATGATGTTCGAGACCAATTTACAATGAAATAAATGTCCTATAGTAGAGTCATTCCTCGCCCTTCTTCGTCCATTTTAGTGAAAACAATGATTTACTGTTCCACGAGTACGCTTCAGTTTCAGGAGCAGTTAACTGAGAAAACTGTATACTTTTGACAAGTTAAGATTGGCAGATTAGGCAACTCTAGTCTAAATCGAATTATTTAGGTCAGTCGTACCATTATTCATGTTTACCATGGAAGGATCGTATGGAGTTCCTTTGAACGGAGAGCCTTCGGCGTTCCATGCTTTTTTTAACATTTCTTCAATATTCTGCAAATATGAATACCACAACTGAATTCTTAGTGACACGAAATCATGTAATATTTAGTAAGAAAACTGAACTGGGAATTTCACAAAAATCGATTGATTAAATAAACATGCGAGCATAGTAACTACACTGTGGGAAGTATAGGTCTTAATAATTAGGTTTTTTAAACATCACAAAAAAAATATCATAAAATGAGCTATTTAGCTCAGTTAACTAGAATTAGGCACTATTCCTAAGTAAAAAGAACTGTAGTTTTTCTTTCATTCGTTCTACATTTTGAAGAAATAAATAGCCATATCGAGTCATACAACGACCTTTACATAGGTCACCCATATCTGCAAAGCTTGTCTACTGAATATAACAAATAATGAAAATACACTACACCAACCAGCGGCTTATACAGTTTATATTTTTATATGCTGCAGGGGGATCAGATTTGACGACTGTGTTATTCTGGGCTGCTAGACAGTATTCCTAGGTTATCCCGCTCTACATGGAAGCGATGTGAGAATTCGCTCCGCGAATAAATTTTACCTGTTTTTTGGTCTCTCTAGTTCCTTTTAACTTGTCGAGGTGCTCCTGCTGAAGTTGTCGAATCTTCATCTGCTCTTCGGAATCCAATTCATCAAATGGTTTTGTTACCTCCAGTTCGTTCAAGCTAATTTTTACTTCGTTTGTTAATAAGCTGTCCCACCACTTACTACCAATTTTTTCCAACGAAATCTGAAATTGTTATTGTAAAGCGCATGCTCATGTAATTATTACATTTTTAAGTAATTACATATTTATGAAATGCTAAACAAATGCAGGACCCTCTTATAGATTATATATATAGATCGAACATAATGGCAGTGCTTATATATAGATTGTATCCGCGTTGTAGATATTCGCAAGGCAACTTAAAATTTTAAGTAATCATATATGCCTATTATAATGTATACATTAAAGCAGGCAACTTACATGAATGAATTCTCCAGGGGACGAGGTCCATACCATTTCAGATTCTTTAATTTTGTGTGAAAGATCCCCCTCGACAAGTGTTACTGGAACATCTTTTTCATAGGCAGTTACTGAACAGAGAAGAACATTTATTAGGCGTCCGGATGGTTTTAAAAATAATGTGACAACGCCATTCGCTAATGAAGGTAAAGGTTTTTTCAGCTCAACTGCATTTTTCTATCCTTATCTGACGTGACGGCATTTAATTTATTACTCAATATGGTTTCCTACTCGAGTATATAGAAATTTCCTACAAAGGCCTACTTAATGATCGATAAACCGAGAAGACAAAGTTCGCAAGACAAGAATAACCGACAAACAATGATTTTTTAACGAATTTTACACTCTATACCTTTAAGTTTCATTCCTTCGGGACAACTGACAGCAAACTTTCGATGGTCCTTCGTAATTTTCACTCTAACGTCAATGTCGTCATGACTCTGAGTCCAACTGTAGTTATCGCGAGCAGCACCATTGAATGAGTCCGAACTAATGGAATATCCATGTTCATCAAATTGTTTGAAAAACATGAAATGTTAATTAAAGCCGCAACTCTTGCAAAATAATATTTTTGTAAGATAATGCTCAAATACTAATAAAAAGACCACACGGTCCAGGAGGTACGTTCTTTATATTATATATATACTAACCTGTCGTGTGGCGCATTCCCTGCAACAAAATTGGCCATTCCTTTTTTGGACCTAACCCCATCAGCTTGAACAACAATTTCATCTTCACAACGCTGCAGAGTCATCTAGAATAACAGGATTGACAAAGATATTAGTAGCATGCGAGTCATTAATATATTGATATAAAGAAGCCGCAGAGACCGGTCATTTATGAATATGTATGACTCATTTAACTCACGCACTTAAACAATTTTTAGATGGAATGGCTATAGCAATGCTCCTCCAAAAAGATGAAAATTAATCGAGCGAAGTGAATAAAATGAACAGTTAGACCTTGAATGATACAGGTCTTTTGTGGTTATGTGACATACATATGCTTCCATAGAAGGGCTGCAAGCAACTAATGCTGACCTGCTCACCGCCAATGTCCACCATTTCTTCACGGATGCCGGCTGAAACGGGAGGCGCAGGCTTCGCGACCAATTCCAGAGCATCTTTCTGAGAACGCATGCAAGCATGGGGAAATCGTTAATTGCAATCGGAAACCGCTGAATACCAAAGGGCACATGAAAATCAACATGTAAGTGCGTATATGTAACGCTAGCCTTACTACAAATGCATTGGCAAAAACGAAAATAATAAACCGTAAGCCCTATTAGGTTCGTTTTGCGGTGCTTTCGAGTCGAACTAAGATCGCCAGAAAGTGCCAATATTTTTTGAGCAGGTTATTGTATACGTCAACGTGAATCTTTCACGATGCATGGCTTCCAAGCTATAGCTATCTATGGTTCCAGCTCTGAGTCAAAATCCACAGTGTTCCAAATTCTACAAGTTCGTGTGTATTAAAAAGGAGTGAAGCAAATGAAAGATAGTACCTTAGCGGTGTCACTGGTCGCTCTTTTCTGGTACTTTTCGAACGCTTGATATGCCACCTTATTTGCGTAGCCAGGAGGAAATCCCTTAGTTGCTTGCGTAGAATCGATTATTCGATAAAAATCCGTTCTGCGAGATTAATAAAGTACATCATTAAATTTATAGTTGTAATAAAGGCTCAATAAAATAAGAGGTAACTGTTATACAAAAGTAACTAGCTAACGACAGTAGAACTTCTATATTAACAGTATTCAGACAGACACAGTGAAGTCTCTATTATCATAGTATTGAGATTTCTCTAACTAAGCTTGCGGAAATACATACAAATAGAGCTTTTTTAAACACAAAAATATTATTGATGGTTATTAAGTGCAATTTTTTTAAATACATTTCCTAAAGATTTATATCATGTGTACAACAGGATAGATAAAATTATTTCGTATAATTTTGTATTATATATAATTTATTACACAACAGGTCAATATTCGGGAAAAAGCTCAAATCAGCTGGACACACAACTAAGTCGTCATGATAAAATAAACTTGAAAATAAGTTCAGTGATAGCATGTTCAATCTATTTTTTAAATGGAAAATATATTCCTGTGTAATTCTGAGGACGTGTGCGCGCCAAGCATACACTACAGATGTATACGTCGGTTCACCTGCGGTACAGAAATCCAAACACTATATCCAGAAATCGTTCAGGTCTTCCACAACTGCTGAGTACATCTAACAGCACTCCGTCGTACTTAGTGTCTTCCATTGCGTTCGTGGTTAATTGCGTTAACAAAGTAATCACAAATGATCGATCGAACTCCTTCTGACAACTGCGCACAGAAAAAATGGCAAATAGTGCTCACATATCCCACACAGGAGCCAAGCGTAAACAAGTACTTCTATGACGCAATTGCCGTCTGCTCGGAAGGCCAAAAACAACCCGGGCGAAAACAAGTTCATCGTAACAAATGTTTCTTTTATGCTTACACTGCTCACGAATAATAAATAAGATGTTTTTAGTGAAGCCCAAATTACCGAAAGCTAAATTTTTGTGTCAGGAACAGTGCTGTCCAAACTATTAGGAAGCAGAACCAATACGGGGATGCAGAAAATGCAGAGAAATCTCTTTTGTAAGCATTCAGTCAGGGCTTTTATAATATGATAGTTAAAATAGGACGAAAATTCGATTACAACGTACTAAATATTCATCACTATTCGTTCTGAATTTCTATTTACTTCACATTTTTTTTACGAATTTACAATCAATTCTTTACGCACCCAGCAAAAAAAACTTCAGTTGGTGTGAATAAAAATGATAGAATTCTACGCAGCAATGTGTACGATACTCAAATATCCAGGCTGCCACCGTAGACCGGAGTTGGGAACTAAATAACGACATAAAGATAACATCAGTTATCGTAACTTGCGAAAATATGTGAGGCTATCTACAATGCGGATATTTTAAAGACACCAAACTCAATTTTGGCTTCAAAGTGAGGATTTTAACAAATGTATAGTATAAAACATATATTTCTGATTTAAAAAATACAACTGTAGCATTATTAGAAATCCTGGATTTAGCTGAGAACCGAATTTAGGCTATGTCAGTAGAAATATAAATAACCAATCACTTTCAAAATTTTGACGCGTTTGATTCATAAGTTTAAATACCTGCTGGCGTAATAATAGAAACAAATTTCAACTGGTATTGTATGTCATATTTTTATTAATATCATCACATATCGTTAATTTTAGTTATAACAAGTCAAATGACCACTTTTAGTATAACAGTCATTTAGATTATCTGTGCCGCTCCTTGGATGTTACGCAGTTTCTTTATGACGATAGCAAAGCAACATCGGGAACGCGTTCGTTCTGCAGCACAGAACGACCGATAACTAACGACAGTGCTTGTTCTGACTGCCACGGGTCGGGTTTGCCTATACTGTGGGTGATTTACTATGTAGAGTTCCTATCAGTAATTCCAACTCTTGATAAATGCAACAAATCCACGTTAAGCTCTTAACGTTTGTTTTTACATACTATACAAGTAAACCTTGTATATACCATGACTCATCGTCTCATAATGTCAGATACATTAAGCCCAAAGTCTGGTTGCTATAGTGCTAGGAAATGAGGGAAATGTGCCGTGAAATAGCATTGATAGTGCAGCCGTAGGTCGGCCAAAATTCGCATCTTTAGACCTTCCTGTACAACATAAAAAGGGACAAATAGCCATTTAAACGAGCCATCCGAGAACTATTGAAAAGAGTTACTTATATATTTTTTGCATTTAATAATTAATTACCGAGAAAAGGCATCTTATTATATTGGGAATAAATTTAACAAATTTTGATTATATATGGGTTAGCTGCCACGACGTGCGTCAGTCTGATCTCAGACTATGTTAAATGCAGTTTACAATATACCGTTACATCTTAGATAAAATGGAGCTATTTTTTTTAACTCAAATGTTCTTGCTGAACTAAAAAGACGTAAATAATATAACTATCGTGGTCATGCTACAGTTCTGCCTTGAAGACCGAATTTGGTTGCAATGGACACGCTTCAATAAACTGCCCCAATACGAGTCGTGATAGACGCCTAGTATCTTTTTAAGCAGTACTGAAGTGAAAGACTGAGTCGGAAAAAATCAACCTTGTCATTAAAATACAAAATAACTACTTGCTGAAATGCGCTAAAATGTTTGAAAAGCAGTTAGGAACAAGGACCTTTTTTTTTGTTTTTTGCAACATTAAGGCATATATTAATGAATACTTTTGCTTGTTTTAATATCAAACACCTGAGGCGACACAAGCCTGTAGAAGAGGTTTATGTGAGAGATGCGTTTAGGTGCAAGATTAAATTGAATAACGATTTTTCCGTCATTAACACATACTACTTAGTTAAGTTATGTACATTTTAGTTTGTATTTCCTTAAACCAATGACGAGTGAAAAATCCGTATCACTCACTTTTGATTTATAGCGAGCTCTTGTTATATTAACGAAATGTTCTATATCCCTTAGTTGCTACTTGATTCGAATGATCTCACAAAAATTCGACTCTTGTTATGTTGTGATAAACACTACACTTGCAGTGGTTACAAAAAAATATATATGAAAAAAGAAAAGGATACAAAAAAAGAGGTTCCTCTGCACTGCCGACGGCCGTGCTTAGTGATGATTTGATATTACTTGGCAGCACCAGTTGTTCTACTGGAATGCCCTGTTCGCTTCTTAGTGACCATTTGAAGCGATTCACTATCAAAGTGTAAAGCCAACACCAACTAAATTCAAGGAAACCACTTTCTATCTTTATGTACCTGTCCCATAGATACATCAGAGAGCCCACAATCCACATACATTACAAACATACGCACATTAAATGGTATTTAATGGGTTGTTTTGCATTCGAGTGATCCTTCCATAGAACTTAACAAGGTCCAGAAAAATATTGGTCATTAATGTTCCATTTTCATGTGGGACTTAATAAAGTCAGACCTATTGGCAAAATATTTCTGCTCTTTGAGTTACAAACCTATATCGAAAACCTTTATATATTTTTAGCGAAACGTGTACAATAGTAGTAGCAAAGTGCATGTGCCAATTACGAGACCAAGAATGATCGAGTCTCTTCGCTTACGGATATGGATACGCTGAAAACAGAACACAAACAAAAAGATTTATTAGCCAGGTAAATAGTAATTAATGTCGCTAGCTTTTGTATTGTCGGTGTAAGGGTATAATCCACTGCCGCAGCTACATTTTGCGATACTTAAACAGGGTTATTTGATAATTAAATAGATTTCAAATTAACGCGGTTTAGTTAAAATGTATTGTGCATTTCTATCCAACGCCATCTGCTTCGGTCACTGTCAAGCATTTTATACTGCTGGAGTCAACTCTAGAAAATAGAAAGCCAACCAACTAACGTTGCACCCATTCTAAATATCTTATAATCTAATCAAAGTCAATGATACATCAAACAAAAAACCTACAGCGGCAAAAAAAAACTCTGTGCCCACATACCTTACTATCAGATAAAAGCACGGAACATGGAAATGGAATCCGAAAAGATTTTTTAACGTACTTGCAAGAGTGAATTGAGAACGGGAAAGCGGTTTGCAAGAGTCGTCACTCGGGTTTGCATTGATTTCAAGGTTCCTCGTTGGTTTCGAAGCTCCTCACGAGTCCGAATGGCTATGTTGATCTGGTCACTGACTAAACGTTCGGAACTATTGAAACAATGACATTCAGTGTAAAATCCCAATTGTCGATATAGTTAGCATATTATAGTGTGCAGGGCCACTGCTCAGGAAGAGCAAGAGTAATACAATTATACAGTATTTGTATCAAATGTCGAAACGTGAACGTATTGTGTCTTGTTTGGGTTATGCGCGAGATACATATGTGAACGATACCGTACTTGCGTATGTGTTCATGTTCTTTTAGGTAGAAGTCTGCCCTCCGATTGACGCCGCCACCGCTGGCAGCGGCACCTTTCATCTTGTGGTCCGTGGAGGCGCTATCCCCGCGGCCTGACGTACCCAAAAGCTCTTCCCGCTGACGCCGACTTTCGATATTATTTCTTGTCTTATTGAACTCTAAAAATGATACCCAATAGCAGAAGCAACTGGACAGAAGCAATTGTTTTTTAATTAAATTACGCCTGTCGTGTAGTATAATGTCACTGACAGAGCCTGAAGGTTCACTGCAGGTACGCACCATATATGAAAATAATACATGGTCAACGCCTGTTGACTGTCTGTTGTTTAGCTACGAGCGCTTTCAAGGCAATACCATTATTATTATTTCTAAGCTATCATATTTATATACAAGCACCTTCATACATGCAGAAGTCATTGCTTTCTATTATAGAAAAAGGACCTTACACTCGAGTGTGACATACGTGTACATAAAATAAAACTAGATATAAAAAAAGAACTGAAGAGTGTACTTTTTGATCCAGCAGTTGATCATCATAGCTTTCGTTCGTAGATTTTTCCCCATACGACAAATACAACGTAGAAAACAATCCGGCGGGCTTCGGAACTTTTAAACCAGTTAGGCTACAACGATGGTTTTTTAAGCTATATTATAGGTACTCTCATTTAATTTTTTACATATATGTCCGGGCGCTCTGTTGGCTTTTAAACAACTACATACCTACTTGCGTTTCCATATATAATTTCTCTCTTTATGGCTTCTCAAAGTAAATGGTAGCGGGATATACTCCCACCAAGTGCTCTTTTTAGGGTATAGACAGCCCCGTAATCAGAGGGATTTAGATCGGGAGAATAAACGAGTTGAATGCAATCCCGAATATTGCTTTTCAGTCTGACGTTGGAATTAAGTCCTTAGAGTGCGTGCTTTCGATTGCCATGCCAACGGTCGTTTGAAGAACTGGAGACAGCATTTGCTCTGGAGATAACATCTGCTCACCTTCACGCTGGCTCCGATTATCAATACTAAACGATATTTTTCTTTTTATGCTCATTTGTCCTAGAGTAGACTCAACCGATTTTCACTCGCAAAATTTAAGATAACTGAAGTATTTATTAGCCTAACATCGTCTGCTCACGGCGTGGCTCAAAAGTTTTTTAATTTCAAAATCTACCGGATTCGCTTGTAACAGCCTTATATTAATGCAGCCACAATAGTAGAATGCTTTTTGGACAGAGAAATACGGCATATAATTTTATCATAGAAAAACAAGAGCGGATTCGATTAGTTTAAAGCACAGTTTGTAATTTAGTCAAATATGTTCCAGTTTGAGATGCTGACCAGGATAGTATTAGCCGGTTCGAATTAATTCCCTTTAAGCCTAACATTTGACCTTAAGTATTAATTTCAAACAGCGACGACGTCTCTCGCATAATGAAAAATGTTCAGAAAGAGTTCTTAGGGGTTTGTGATACCTGCAGTATAGTCTTTAAGAATATCTCTGTGTCGTTGTAACGTGTGCTGGCGGGAGCTGCCGCCTCCTTCACACTCAGACATGTCATCGTTCAATTGCTGTAACTGCAATAAATAATTTTATAATGCGAAAACGTAAGTCGAGTAATTTTGCAGTTTATGCATGAACTGCTTTATCACAAAATACGTACTTGGCATTCATACTAATCGTAATATTACATATAAGTCATCGGGCCAAAGCAGCAGAGGACGATACAAAGTTAATAATGCAGTTTTTGGATAACAATATGTCTTATTTGTAGCTTATTAACTGTTTATTGTTTCTATTTTTCGAGTACAGGCGCGTAATTATCTTGAAAATATTTCTGTGGGGTATCGATATTCAAAATTAAAGATACTCACGAGCGACAGCAGATGTTCGATTTCCTCAGTCATCGAATCTACCACATGGCCGGAGGCGGCGCTGCTTAGCAGTGGAACTGTATCGCTATTCTCGTGGGTGAAATCCCGCGACCCCAATGACGTTCCCACCTTACTAAAAGACACCAGCTTTAGGTCGATTTCATTTTCAAGATGTCGGGCTTGCTTCCGTAATTCTATAATGGAAAAGGACTATGTCATGTCAAAGCATATCATCGTATTATTGCTCGAGGAGTTTAGGAATTTTGAAATCTACTCATTTAAAAAGCAGTACAAGCAAGATGAGCAAGCTTGTTTTAACCTCACTCGAAAATTTCGTAGGAAAAACTTTTCCGGACCACAATTTTAACTGATGTCAAGACTTGAATGTAGCTTAATAAAATTAATCCTTTCAGACTAAGTTCTCTAACGGTATCTTAAATAATGTAAATGCATACTTATGTAATATACGGTAAAAATTGTCAGTAACTGAAGCAACTAAACTTTTTTGATTTGAGAGTAATAATAAAAATAATGAGAATCTTTAGAATTATAGTAATATTGACGAAAGTAAATATATCCATTGGTGATAGTGAAGAAAGATGAATGTGTGATTCAAAAATAAGCTATCACTCAGTTATTGCCCCATTAGCCTGTATTACTATGATTGGTTACAGTAAGTTCTATGCAATTACTTATTGAAGTTACTAAGTTATATTTTTGTTTCTGTGGAGTAAATTGTTCAATACAATCAAGACTCACAATATTTAATGAAATGGGAAATAATAATAATAATAAACTATTGTTTTTTTCGAATTTTGTTTCACATCTCACATTGTGGTCTGTTCAGTGTGTAACAAACTCTCCTATTCATGTGCGAATGCGACACTGTTTAATGCACCACTGGTTAAGGTTATGATAAAACTTTAGAACAACTACTACATACGCGCCGTTAAAATGAGATGTCATTATTATAAAAATTGTTGATTATTATATATATATATATTATATATATATATATATATATATAAGTACAAAAAGCACCGTATTAATCTTAGTATTCACCATGATATAATCGAATGAAACCCAAGGTGTATCGATGTAGTAGAACAATGACATACCTTCCCAGTTTTGTAACATTGTAAGGCAGGATGATAACTGCTTGTCGCTGATTTCAAAACGAGCTAGAATTTCAGAGCTAAAACAACAAATAAGTGGTTTCGTTTCCAATAGTTAGAGTTTTTATCCAAAAGAGCAAGAATAGAATCAAATGTACGTCAATTGCAAAGTGCCAACACAATATGATTCACTTTGACAAAAAAGATGTTTTTATTTACATTAATGCAATTTCTAGCAGACAACTTTGGACGGCAGACGATTTGTGGCGCAGAGCGCCAAAGGACTATATCGGTGTCATATAATCTGTATTAGAAGATCAAAGTGCTTTATTTACATAATTAATGCAAGTATATACTAAATCTGATTTATGAATTAAATAATTCAATTATCTCATCGATATAATTGACTATTAAGGTAAACTATATTTTCATTTCTGTAGTTTACTTACTTGCTGCAATACTAGTATTGAATGTGGGAGGAATGGTGAAAGATCTGATACTTTAATCAAAATGTTTAACAAACTATTTAACATAAAAAATCATGTCAGCAAATAAAACAAAATTATATAACGCCTATTTATATAATTATATAACGCTATAATTATAAATGGTTATAAAGATGTTAATACTTTATCGCCTAATCATTATTGTTCAATGAAAATTTACGGGAGACTAAACAGACTTGATACTTTCTAGGCGAGTTAAAGCGAATAGTATACATATGTTTTAACAGAATACTGCCTTCATGACTCATTTCGATTACTTTAGACGAACGAGGCAGGCTGAATTTTTAAGTTGTTTAACCCCGATTACCGCTGCTATTCGTTTGTTGTTCATATACATTGGTAAAATTTTTTATCAGATACACGCATACTAAATTTGATCCGTATATCGTTCTTGAAAAAGTTTATTATTATTATTTACTAACTATATTTATTATAAAACCCGTTTTGGAAATCGTTAATTATTAAAGGTGTATGTGCAAAGTTGTAGTTATTACCGTGGGCCATCTTTTTATGCGAGTCCGTGTCCAGGGTTTGTTTCCTTGACCAACCGGTATCCTTTTTTCATAGAGGATCGATCTTGGAACCTATTGAAAACTCACAATGAGAGGAGATCAAATAATTATCATTTTTGTATATCTAAATACATTTAGAGAGCGTGAGAAAAGCGACGATAATAGCGCTTCCTATTCAATAACGCCAACGACATTTAAGGCCATGGCTCCAGGGCCACATGGCTGTTGCATATAACGACAACCACGATAATTCTCGTACGTATTTAATTGAACTCTGCAGATTAGTGCTACGATTTTCTTCGCTAATCAGTGTATAGCTAATTATTGTTGTATGAACAACAAAACAGTACAGATGGTAATCGTCATTGTAACTGCAGAAAGAGTGATGAGCAGCGGTCGGTGAACGTTACTTCGGCCGTTACAACGCTGACTGAGTTATAGCGGCCGAAGTGAGCCAGTTGTATGTGGTGCCTTTTTGTACGATTTGTCCTTTTAACCAAACGGAGGCCGTTTGTTGTCGCTGGAATACTACATAAAGAGGTTGTTCATTCGACGAACGGAACGCAGCTGTTTACCAACATGATGGCCCAGCCACCGATATTGTTATTGGGGCAGTGGTAAGACACTGTTCGAATTTATGGAAAGGTCCTATGCAAATGCACACAAGTGTGCAAATAAATGTTTCCAGGCCTACGCCTGTTAATGGCCTCAAACGGCTGGCTTTCAGCAAAAAACGGGGTGTGTTTGTGACCGATTTCAAACATAGACCGCCTCGCGTTCCTAAACGTAGCCGATAAGCACGTTATTACTACACCATCACAGAAACAACGAATGTACAAATGAAATAAAACCATCAACTAGCTTTGGTTAGCTACGTCGACCCAACTTTTTTAGCGTTTATGACGACCTATAAAACATGCTTGTTTTGGCCATAAGCATATTTGTACTGTTATTAAACTGGAAGTTCCATCTTGGTGACGCCGTAGTTGAACTAAGCCTCTTTCAGGATATTTCCGTAAGTCGATGTATATCATGCTCATTAGTAACGGAAAGAATGCAGCACACGACTTTTTCTTGTTGGTTATGATTCCCCAAGTTAGATTTAGAATTTTTTATACATGTTTTCATTAAAGTCAAATTACGGGCATATTATTTCCGTCGAAGCTCTTGATACGTAGCTTTTTGGTTGCCAACAAGTATCTTCCATCCCATGATGGAAGTCCCAAGGTTTGTTTTTCGTCCAGAGAAAGCCTCGCACTTTTTGGCCCGCTAGACAATTGTAGGACCTGAAATGGGGTTCGCCCCTCAATGTTTTCTGGTGCTAAAACTTTTTAGTTATATTTTTGACATCAGAGTTGTATTCCGAATTAACATAAAGCAACGAGCCTAATATGTTTAGGACCTTTTAACGAATTCTAAAGGGGGCAAACACTTGATAAATAGCTGCTAATTTTGGACACATAGAACTTGTTGCAGTATTTGCTGCCAGAGACGATTTCTAAACAGTGCATACTTGCTGTTATACGTCATGCATGTCAGTTTAGAGCGCGTAAATTCGAATTGACCATTTTGACGTACAGGATACAGGTATTAGATTTTAAAAGAAGATTATTATTTGGATTTACATCACTTTCTACTAAAGAGGGAACGATAGTAGTTTTAATATGAAGAAACTGCCATAAGAAAATGTTGGAAACAGCCTTTACTTAAGAACAGGCCCTCATATCAACTTCGAAATTCAGATTACTCGATACCGTAAGTTTGTGGCGAACGCCAACCTAATCGACTGCATAAACCCTTACATTTTTACATCGAGGCAATATAATCAATATTTAATGTTTAAGAATAACATTGATTAGCTACGATGTACGAACGGACTACCTCTGAATTAAAAAATACTTTTATTTTTGTATTTTTTCTTTTCATTTTTTCAGCATAATAATTGTGCCTTTGCATTATTGCATTGCATATTCGGACAAGAAAGTTGGACAAGTTTTGGTAGGATGGTGCTGACTTTCCTACTATAAATAATGGCAATAACTACAGAGTAGGCATTTCATACAAATCAATTTCTTATCTGTTAGATATACTTAAGATGCATTGACCCGTGTCAACACTGCAAAAATTGCTCTTGTTATATGTTTAAGCGCATACAACTTTTTACGCGTATTGACTTTCTACATTCAATGTGACGAAGGCTATCTTTAAAACACGCAACATAAAAAAAATTAGGATTTATTTTATAAGGACCACCATATGTTTATTTAATTATAATTATAGAAAGCACCAATCACCTAACATTTGTGCTGCATGGCCAAGGTATATAGGATCATATCATATATTTATATGTTAATGCCTTACGCATCAAGCTGTTTTATCTACGGTAAAATAACAACAGAGTACGTTAAGGCAGGGCCGATTAAACAAGCATGTTTGCAAATTTTTTTGATATACACTCATTCGTGGAAAAGGACAGCGGAGCTGCTACAGTTGTGCCGGGTTGGCCTCAAAGTCAGCCTGCTATTTTGAAGGTTATGTACGAAATAGATAATCAACTCAATAAATAGCCCTACCAGAAAATAGTACTGTGTAACCAATTTCATTGAAAGAAATCATTTGAAAGGCGTTCGAAAACATACTGAGGACAGCTAGCAAAGGCGCGAATGGCATATGTGAAAGCTCAAATAAATTCAGTGATTATGTCCAGTACCATGCTAGTCTTGTGGCAATGGTACCCAAACGTTAGTGATATTTTTTCAATTCAAGAAAGTTCGTATATACAGCTATATATGTAAACTTGTATTACTTTGAAACTTTGAACAATACATACGTTTGATTTTAATACATTGCAACAAGAAGGGGTTATCATACCGTCACAGCTTCGAATCTGATGTACGCTCAAGAGTACATGCTTCTTTTTTCAAACGAGTCTTTACTATGCTGATCAAGTTGTTATTTGTTTTATATACCACTAAATGAATTATACTTAGATATAATATGAAAATTCTGCCAGTTTGCTTAGTTCTCAATACTTTTTCGTACCGTTAAAAACGTAATGAAGTTTTTTTGGGCAAACAAGTATTTTGATAACACTTTTGTTCAGCAGGAATTTGGCTTTTGACCCTCAAAAGAACGTCAAGTTAATAAGTTACCTGATAGCTGTTATCCTTAAGCAGTTTTTCGAGCGCCTCTATATAGAAAAACAACAATGCGATAATAAAGTCGCACAGTCCGCGAATGGCTAACCGTATACACGACAAAAACAAATGTATATACGCTGTTTTTGTATCCCATGTATTAAAATATTTCTATAGGAATAGGCAGTCGGTTGAACTATATAACAGCTCTCTTCTTGGACCATTAACTATCCTTATTGACCATAACGATATTTTTTATAACAGGGCCTAAAGTTTAGGTTTCACTTACACCTAATAAAAGCTCAAGTTAGATAAGGGCATAAACGACTTTTCCTCAAAAGACATTTCAATAAAATAATCAATTATGTTAAAGGTTCCAGCTGATTCGTACATGAGCGACTTTAACGCGTACTACTGTTTCCGGTTATCGGTCAGACAACGAATGTCTGATGACTACTACACCGTAAGCCGAAATAATTGAAATACTGAAATAAGTAAAAGGAGCTCCAGTGAAGGGCATCTCGTGATAGTGTTTTCATTTCGAAAAATGGTCAATGTTCACGGAGGTTCATGAAGATGAATGGAATATATTAATGTATGTTTAGATTGACCGGAGTGTGTTAACTCTCTGAGAAAACAACGCTGAGTTCTCTAAACTGAACAGTTAAAATGTTGCGTATTTGTAGCAGACATACATTGAAATATGTATTGATTAGCCTAGCGAATACGAAATAGGCACGAAAAAATAAGCACATTTTTTGCGGCATCGCTGTCATCTGACAACTATGCTTCCCACTACGGCGAGTAACAGAAGCGCAGTCTTATTCGTTATTTGCTGAATAGTGAATTGGAATATCGGAAGAAGCAAACCGTTCTCTGCCGCTTGAACATGATTTTGAATATGGAAAAGATGGCTTTCTTGATGAATGCGACCATACTGGCTATAGAACCTCCGGATCCTATCTACTTGTATCAATACATTTCGCGGTAACGAAGTTCATCGGGAACGATGCCTGGCCGGAAACGAGAAATCGTTCATGTGTGTATTTGTTTTTCTGTCTGCTATGTTTTTGCTTTACCTTCTCTCCCTGTTTCACAAAATATGCGAGGATTACCTAATGTACCGCATGCTAGCGCGAACAAGACTCAAACATCAATACAACTTTAATAACAATCAATAAGTGAAAAAAATACTATCTTAAAATGCTGAGTATTTAAAACAGTTGATTTTAAAAATGAAAATCACACCGGCTTACGCTGCCCTAGCGACACAATAAGTTCGGCTCTTCGTTAGTGATCTTATGCTGATGTAGGTACTTCATTCAGAGTTAAGTTTATAATAGGGCTCCATCAGAATAAGCATACGCCACTGATACGAAGACGCTTGATGATACAACGGTTATTGTTATCAACGTTACAATTAGAATCTTTTTTCGTGGGGTTTGTGTTTTCTCACCAACTGCCACAACTTTTAAATAATAAAAACTAAATACATGCCTGAAAATTGGACTTATCGTTAGCGAGCGGTGCTATTGACATTACCTTGCGGTGTCTTATAAAACCGAACGTGATCTTTTTAGTCTTGTTGGTACGATCTCCTTGATCTTGTCTGATTTACTTAATTAGCGTCCAAATATCTTTTAGTGACTGAATGCAATATATACACTGTCCCAGCGATATGGGTGAACACGTATCACGTGCAATTATGATAAATTGTACCAATCTTCCCCGAGTTACGAAAACAAGTTTTCGATTATTTACATGACGAAGAAAGATTAAGGCGGTCACAAAAGGTCCAAAGATGATAAGATTTTAATCATATATATATAAAAATGGCTGTGTAACACACACAATTAAGGCATTAGACCAGCCGTGTGGTAGCCAACCGTCAAAAAATCCCTTTTTTTTCGGGATCGTCTTTTTCGAAGCGTATTTCCTAATTGAATAAGCTAGTAGAGATTTCGCTGATGATGAGCAAAGTTAACACTATAAAAAGACCTACGACGACGAGGGCGTCATTGAGGCGGCGTCGAGATGTGTTCTATAGACAGAGCATGATATTTTTGTACCATCTGCTTTGACATTTGGGCAATACTTGCATTCAACGAAATGTGTAACAGAGTCATTTTTCCGGTAAGACCTAGGATATACTGTGAAATGATGACAGGTTTGTTGTTGCATCATAGCCACGCTACAAGCGATGTATAACAGAGCGAAGCTCGCAGCTTTATCAACAACAAAAAAAACTATCAGAATTGGGATTCATGGCAGAAAATCTTTGCCACAAGCCGCGTGAGGAAAAAAGAAACATAACATAATGACAGGTAAGACATCCAGGTGGTTAGCGGAATAGCTATCCCTCGAATCTTAGAACGTTTCAAAGATGCTGATGGTAAATTTTTTTGGTCCCATTCTGTGATACAGAGTTTGCACGTGCAGCGCATGCGCGAAATAGAAATGTAGTATTCGGGGTTGATGAAGCAGAGCTCCGTGGCGCTTCAGTATACACATGTCATCACTTCTAGTAGAACATTTAGTCAAAAGTTAACTTTTCTAAATTACGTACCATCAACTGTGAGAATAATCAGACAATCTGCGGAGCAGTTTTTTAGCCTGCTTCTACGGTCGAGAGAATGCATATTCCTAGGAGAGTATGTACCACAAACGGTGAACATCATAAATCTTTTTGGTGAGCTAATTATTCGTAGGATGTACCGGCCTGTAGGTATCAAAGGTGACGATTCAACAGGATGTGCCGCTTTCGTAAGATCTGTGATCCATAGAATACTTAATACAAACGAGCTAAGGATGATGGCAGATTTGATGATGTTATATTAGTACAGCTAAAACTTGTAATATCATAATCTAAAACAAAGGTTCTAGCTTAAGATAAGGGTTGAGATTTTGTGGTATTGCGTATGTGAGATTTTCCATGTCCTATGACAGTATTAAACCGTCTTCAGTGTAGAGCACGCGCTTGGCACTGTGAAATTCGTGCTTAAGGCTTTCGCTTACTGCCATTCCATTGATAGGGAATAACTGGAACATTCATTATGGCTTTTCTGGTGTGGAACTTCAACTGCTTCGAACTGAGACGATGCATTTCTTCGAATTACAGCTTGTGTCCACGTAAGCTTGTGTGTTCAGTGTCGATAGGGATGAGCTGCTTAAAGTAGACATATTAGGAAATAGCCAAGGAATTGGCACGTCAATATTACGTTTGCATCTTTTCGATATCGACATCTTCGAAACTTCGCCTTTGATACGTTTTGACTTGATCCTTTTCCTCTTGTAATTGACTGCGAGCCGTTTAGGAATCCGCCAGCGATTTGGCGCTACCCTATTTAGGAGAAGGTTTGGCTAACTTAATCTAGTCAACCGGATATGACGTAAGCGCACTTTAAAGTTGTATCGTTTTCGTTTTTTTGTGTTACTGTTAACTTCTATATCATAATACTATCACACCATCGATGAATCGTGAGTGTGATAGCGTTAGAGCTTTATTTGACTTTGTTCCAAATCATAACGACAAAATGACTGATGGACCCGACAGAATACTAAGTTCACCGTGGAAGGCTGAACGACACAATAATAAAACCGCGTTTACTATCAATATAATGACAATAATTGAATGTTGCGTACTTTTTAACAACATTTTCTGCGTCGAAGAGATGATTTGCGAGATAAGAAGTATCTGTAAATGAAGCAAAACTGCCATGTGATAGTCCCGATATGGCGAAGAAATTGAATGTATGTAGCAGTACAAGTATCAATAGGGTACAACCACTCTTTAACAATACGGCTGGTCAACATGTATACGTTTTCCACTGTGGCACGTTTACTCGTTCGATTCGACGAATACGCCCATGGAACGTGGCGCGCAAACATCTGCAGTCATGACTTCACTAAGCCTATATTGTAACAGGCCACAGGCTAATTTTCTAATTAACTCGGGCTTGGTATTGTTTACATTGCTACAGCATCGAAGAAAATTTTTTCTTTCGATCTAAGCAGAAAAAGCAATAATTAAATGGAGACGATTTTTCTGCATAAGGGAAGCAGTGAATTACCAGTGGTAAGTCAAGAAGTGCCAAAGATAACCATACAAACCGAAATTCCAAACAAGTAATACTTGAGCTTTCAGTTTCCTATACAAACGCACAGTACAGAATACATTAGAATCAAGTGGATACAATAACTAGTAATAGCTTTGATGGGTAATCACAAACAAGAGCCTTGAGGGCAGTGTCTTGTTAAGGATCATATAAATGTGTTTTTCGATTGAAGAATATCTCGACGAATACCGTAATTGCGTTACATAGGTGAAATGAAAAATTTCGTAAAGTTGCTATGTTTGGTCACCGTTTTCTCCAAAGAAAGAAGACGTTTTTTTTTTATTATCACGATGAAAATGTTATATTTCGTGTGTTATGAATGTTTCAACATGACATGTGTCGCTCTTATGTACAAATGACCTGTGGCAGCATGAGTAAAGGTATCTTAAGTAACGCACCTTGTCTTTTATACTACCAAAAAATCTTTGTTCTTTTGTGGTGACAGTAAACGTATATGATCGCTGTCAAATCTAGCTATGGTCCAACTTCTCTTTAAGTTGAACCTGGTTCAGCTTACTGTAACGGTAGCCGTTGGCGAAGTAGACCGTGGCACCCAAGACAAGCCATACTATGAATCGGTACCATGTCACCGCTTCCATTGTCGTCATGAGGAAAGCATTCAAGCTCATACTGATAACTGGCAGAAGAGGCATTAACGGCATCTGGAACTATTATATGTAGAAATATAACACAACTAACATAAATCGAAAATCTATAGTAGTACAGAATTAAAAAAAACTGTAAGTTAAGGTTAGTAGGCGGCTGTCCACAAAGCGGTGTCACCACGTTCGAACGTCTGATCGTAAAGTGACTCGCTGGAAAGCGTGGTTATTACAAGTATCTTGGCTAATTTCGGAAACTCGCAGCGGAGTATTACCTAACGTTGTACGAAGTCATTTTCTGCCCTGATGATTTCAGTCAGTAGTATGCTGGTCACTACTATCGATGATGGCCGGCCATCTCTTAGATGGCTTATCAATTCTATCTCTTAAGAAGTGAATATCGTTATTTGTGATAAACTGGTCAATATGGCTTTTTGCACCATTTAAAGGCACAACATTTTTCCCATTAAGAGAATTCTGCAACGATCGGAAAAGGTCGTCATCGAAGTAACGAAACATGACCCTTTCTTTGCCCTAGCCGAACGTTTTTCTCGGATGCATACCGACAGCTAATTATCCATAGTACTTAACTGAGGTAAAAGTTTGGTTATTCGGAAGAAGTTTATAAACGGCTTTAAGCCTTGTCTAAGGAACACTACCATGCTTCGACCACGATCTGCGCTGATTGACGTCATGAGAAACTCAGATGCCTCTTCTATTGACCTAAACATTGCTTGTTAAATATTTCTGAACGGTCGAATCTAGTTGAATCTTCCTTTGTTTTCTGCAACCTGATGGAGGTGGACCTTGGTGGAAACATAATGGGAATTTCTGTATTTTCATAGTCAGAGGACTGAGCACCACAGGCCTTCCCTTTGATGCTAAAACCACCTTCCATCATGTTATAATGAAAGGTGGGCTTAGCGAAAACTAGTGGATCACTTTCTGACCATGTAATCGGCGCTAGTACTGGGTTCCCGCACTTAGCAAACTTCTTTACATGTTTGGGTTACACTCCTTTTTACAAACAAGACTTCAGCCCTTAACACCTTAAATACCCTCTTAAGATCTCTACCTTTGGGAATCTACGTTAAGTCAAACAGAAAATGCTCCTCCTCGCCTAACTTTGAATACATGAATTAATTTCAAGTACGCTACGAACTTATCGAATCGCCCAATGCAATAAGAACTTAGTGTGAGGAAATGCAGCAAGCGAATTTAACTACCCTCACCGTGTAGTTTTCGTCGTCGAGAAGCTCCTTGAGCGGATAGATATATGCCACTGCCACTAAAATCATAGATCCACACACCACAGTAAGCCCGATCTATAAATTACAACAACAAAGACACATAAAAATAAGCTTCTGCAATCTGAGGCCATTTCTTTTGTTTGGAGTTGATTTTCCCGATATGATCATACAAATTTGATCTAATAAAGAATATAAATCTAATTATCTGGTTAAATTCATAACTGAACAAATCATGTTCTATGTAGCAATGCACGATAGTGCGTTGAGCGAATTGTATGTACAAAAATAGGGATCACTGAGTGGACGGATAACATAACGAGACTTAGACCAATTGTCATAGCACAAGGGTTCTGCTAGGGATAACCTTTACCTGTCCGTCCCATGGAGTTCCTTTGACGTTCACCGAGAAGCCGAATGCGAAAGCAAAAAATGTAGCTAGAGCTAGCGTGATAACGATGAGAGTTTTATGAGACATTCGAGATGGATACAGAGAGTACAAGGATGACGCTGCCCATACTCGTAGCGTCACTCGCGGGCCTATTTCACCCTGAAATATTGTTATTCCTATTGAATTAGTAACGTTGAACTAGATGGTCTGCTGTTACGCTGTGTCATTGGCAAGTCGACCTTTATGCATGCAAAAACATAGTCCTGTTCTCGTCTCTGTTCTCGTCTAAATAATGGTCGTATGCTATAATTGACCTCATCATATAAGCAAACTCTTGAACTCACGGATTCCGAAGTACTTTCACCAAAGTTTTATTCAAGTGACTATTATTCCGTCGTCTAGATTGCCCTATGCTTCATTAAAGGGGGATGTCCGCTCCAACGACTTGTAAAACGCAGTTCTCAAGGAACCTATGTAGCCTTTCGGGTAGCATTTGAATCTCTACTAATTAAAATATAAATGACGGGTCTACCGTAAATGGTTACGCATATATTTGTCGTTTCAATATATACAGGACTATCAGAATAGGAGACAACTAGCCAAAACTGGAGATATGAATGACTATATACCTTAGCGTGCACCTTCGTTGGTGAATATCGCACGATAACCACACCAAACGCTATGATCAGATATGCAAAGAGCGTTCCTATGGAAAGCATTTCAATGATGGCGTCGGTATCGAAAAAGACAGCCAAAATTGCCGCGACAAACGTAGATGTGATCATCGAAACGAACGGAACCTGTAGAATAAATAAAAACTTCGTATGGCATGCAGTACTTGCGAGCTCTTTGAGGGTGTAAATATGGAAGTTGAAAAGACGCCCATACTAAATGCTATATACAGCGCAAATTAAGTTAGCACAAAATAAAACCAAAGGCCATATTCATTGATTTAATACAGTCGTGATTAGAACCAAGTATAATGCACACGATGGATACTTTTGGGATTTATAGAAAATGTATTTCTTGCGAAAAATTTCTACGACGGTATAGTTTAAACACGTTTGCCTCTAAAACCTATGAATACGCGATAGTCTAGATTCACAACGATTCATAATAATGAACATGATTTATTTTGTACTAGGAGACAGCCGTCCGAACTAGTGCTTTACGGCAGTGCAGCATGTAAGCCTCGTAACATTGATTTGTTGAATGAGGTAAAGCTGTGTATCGCTGCTCACTGCAACGCACTTATAGTAGCAGACTTGTCGGCTTTTTCCCATTTTACGCGTGTGACACGTGTCAAAAATGTCCTGCATTCGTCCCTCTTTGACTTCAACAATGGGCAGTGATCACCTACCGTAACTACGTTATAGTCAATGTAAACTTCGGCATACTACCTTTCGGCAAACGGAGCAGAAAATAGCTGGTAGTAGACCATCTTCAGCCATAGCGTACATTACTCGAGATACTGCAAATATGGTTCCCATGATAACCGTGACCATACTAGCAATGGCGCCCCCAGAGACCATATACACAGCCCAGTATGCGTCGTAATGCTTAAGGGCATCTGGTATACCTGCCATGAAAACGTTGTGTTCCGTTAGACGCGTCCATTCAACTTTCTAATCCCTATGACCTCGATAAACTCGATCCTATCGGTAGCATCTTACTCATGAGTCGTCATCTTCTATTTAGTGGTTTTGGCTTTTAGCTGAAATCGCTCACCTGCTTCCGTGTTTATGTCATAGTATGGCAGCATAAGCGTGAGAACTCCAGACACCGAGATGTAAACGACAGAAACTACAGACATGGCCATAAGGGTGGCGATCGGAATTGACTTTCCAGGGTTCCTCGCTTCTTCACCGGCTGCCGCGATGCTGTCAAAGCCAACGTAGGCAAAAAAACACTTGGCACACGCCTAATGCACACGTACAGACAGACATAATGTACGCAGACGAAACAGCTACTTCACATCGAACCCAAGTGCTGACTGAATGGGGCGCTTCTACAGTTACAAACAAGTGAGTACGACTCTGCCCTTACAAATTGCAACGAGTATAATGTATCTATGTATTTAGTATTGAAGAATAGCACATTTGATTGTTCGGAGTTAGTTCGCGACTTTTCATCCCGCGATTGCTCCGTGGACTTCGGGGCTTCTACTTCGACAATTGGCCTTTGAACTTTTAATTCAAGTTGTCTCGAGTTTCTAGAAATAGATGTACTGTGATTACGGGGGTTATATATGCGTGTTTTTTGGTATGGAATATCAATAAAGCAAACAATTAAAAAAATAACGAAAAAGGAATTCAAAAACGCTTTCCGGAGAATGGCAAGCATGATTTAATTTTAGAAAGGCGAACGAACCAAAGAGATCGCACTTTTCTGTGAAAGCAGAAAGGATTCTTTTGCCTGTTAATTGCTAAACGACCCAAAAATTGTCCCAAAACGTCCGTTTCTGTGGCGTTAGTGCTGTAAGTTTTTAAAAGTTAGTGTTTCTACGTATTAATCAGTTGGCGCACGTGCTCTGCAACAAAAGCACCTAGGTTTTATAAGTAAAGTAAAAATCTATCTCTACAGTTAGCATTAGTCCTATTGACTTCATTTCATGTGTGAGCAGATTTTCATCAAAATTTTTTATACTTCAAATACGACAGTACAATAAGGATTCTGTAATTTCTTTGCCAAAAATCATTCGTAAGAGCAGGATACTCTTAGGACCGAATTTGCATTGGCATGTAAAAAAAAACATGAATGAATGTAAATAAAGTAGTATTTGTCATTAACCCTAAAAAAATTACTAAAATGTGGCATTAATTCAATCATCTAAGGGTATATTGTGTTTAGTCGCTATGGAAATTATTTATATTATGCTAATGAATTTCGATCTTTAGGAATATGCAGCAATAATACTATAACGTATTCTTAGCCCCAGAGAATATCTCAAAAACATCACCATTTCTCAGTAGCGGAGATACTCTTCCGAGTCAAAGTATGACACGTGCAGTAAATCTGAGCTACTAGGTTGTCGCAAATGGAACGAAGACGGTTGAAACTTGACGGTGTCGAAAAGCCGTACAGAATTAGGCTTAATAACGATATTAAGGAAAACTCAGAATTACATCTAACGTACAGAAAGTACTCCAGACCAGCCGTGTGGAAGAAAACCGCTGATAAAGCCATCGGGCTTGTGGTCGCCGCAATGGTACTGCCAGTTAGAGAAGTCGGCGTGAAAGACACCAACCCCAAAGATAATGGCCATTACTATGACATTGACAACGACAAGAGTATTGTTTAGCCATGATGTTTGCTGAAAACGAGCAGTAGAAATAGATACATTCAGACAATATTTCGCAACAAACCTATTTTATCCTAACTAGTGAAGCCCGTTTGTGACTGTAGCATTATCACAATTCGAAAATCTAATTTATGTTTCATACGTAGTTAATCTATTCATGTATGTTAGGGCGTAGCGGCAGGTGTAGTTCATTTACTTCGTCTGGCAGTATTTAGAAAAAGCGAATATCTCGGTAGCGATGGTGGAAGTGCCAATGAACGCATTTTCGTAATGATAATCTGTGCATTCTGGTGAAAGTCGATTGCGATAGTATAATTAGACGTTCGTCAAATGTTTACTGTGTAAATATTGAATCTATGGCACATTAAGGCTCATTGATTTAAGATTAAATTAAATAGATAAGCGATTACCTTAGCACCTAGTAACATGAAAAGAACAAACGCAATCAACAGAATGGCTGAGAGTACGTCCGGATATTTCGACAGCGAGCTATTTTGTTTATCAGTGAGCCATCCAAATACGTTAACGGTGAAATTACCGATGATTCCCCTGGATAACGAGTTTGCGTAGGCGCTGCATGTTCGGCCTGAAAATAGATAAATGCGCGCGCGCCAAATTGACTTCGGGACTCTTAACTGTTACACAGCTTAGTATCAAACACGACAAACATTCATCTTCAAGCCGACGTTTTACGATGCTTTTTATCGTGCTTGAAACGCTCTTCCACTATTTGAAGCTGAAATTGCACGCTCAGATATCATCACTCGGGCTTGTAGTACGCCCGTCTCAATGAGCCATCGAAAATAAAAAAAAAAAACAAATAGTCTCTAGATATCAGTCGTTCTTTAGATCACAGCAGCGGAGGTAGCTTGCCATAGAAATCTTGTGTTCAGGGAAGGTTCTACTACTAAGAACATTGTGAACTGTTGCTTCGAAAAAACTCCCGCGAGCGAACTTCCCAGCTTTCAGATGAATCTCATAAGGGACTCGCTTTAAGAATGAATAATGAAGTCTTATTCGCTGTAATTGAAGCCTACTCATAACGAGGTGTACGGATGTTATTACTAGAAGTTGATATACGCAAAAATACCTCGGTCATTTGGTTAAAGCTGGAGTGAACCGTCAACAATTGGGGGAAATTATGCCTTCCTCTCTACATCAAGCAGCCAGTAGTAATGGAGGAGCTTTATTCAATTTCGTTTAAATCTTAACTGGTATAAGGGTATAGAAAATAATGGTGCCTTCAATGGTGTTATTTTACATAACATATGTACATCTATATATATATGTATATACGAAAAATTGCTTCCCTTAGCATTTTGCCGACATTTACAAGTTTTTAATTAAATATTGATATAATTTGTAATAATTTTAATGGCGCCGGTGTACATACCAACAACTGCCAGAGACAACACATTTTCCATGATAAGATTCCATCCCACAAAGAACGCGAGGATCTCTCCAAGAGCAAAGTATGTATAAGAGTAAGCGGAGCCCGATCGTGGAAAACGAACACCGAATTCAGCGTATGCTAAAGCAGCCAAAAGAGAAGCAATGCCAGCCAGTAGAAAGGACAGTACAATCGCAGGACCCGTTAACTTATTAGCCACATTGGGGGCAAGAATATATACCCCTGAAATAGAAGGGACCGTACATTTAGACAATCCGGTCGATTCGCATAGAAGCAGGATAAAGAGGTCTTATATTCTGTGCACTTAATCGGGCAGGTGAGCGCGATTTACTAATTATAGCTAAAAATAGCGGCGCGTATAAGTACGGATGTTGCAGGCCACTACGAAACGCCTACAACAAAACCTAACAAATAACAAAAGTGGTATTCAGCCGTTTCCACGTTTAAACTTGCTTGTTAGTTTGTACCGAACTCTATGGCTTTTCATACCTGATCCAAGCATGTTGCCGATACCCAAGAAGGCGATGTCGAGCGTGGAAAGACATCGTCGAAGATTGGTAGTCAAAATCCCTCCATCAGCGTCTTTTCTCCGCATAAGTTTCACTAATGCTTCTGATAAAAAGCTCATCTCGAACATCTCCTAAGATAATTCGACGCGTGATATGTAGTTGTCGCCTGGAAAACTACGGACTGAAACCATGATTTCACGATATGTGAATGTGAGCGGACCCTAAGCTACAGTTCTACTTGGGCAGATCATTAAAACCATCTTTCTGTACTGCATTAAAAAGTGCCAACAGTGTTTACCTGGGGCTTCCTTGATAACCCTATTATCATGTGGAAAAGTAGCAATATCAAAAGTAATTTTTCACCTTTTTTTACCTTTTATTTCCTTTTTTTTTTTATCACAAATCCTTTATTATTACTTGCTAACGTTGAGGTCTGAAGCAGATTTGTGAAAAGTTACTATGACAACGTCCTCAGAAGTGCACATTGATCAGCCAGATGCCCCCACTGCCTTGAAATGACTGCAATGAAAAGGTTACAATATGTCGAACTGCTACGTTTCTTACCAAGAACTGACCACATTTGAACAACTGGAAGCAGCCTGTGCGCTATTTATACATGTTTTGGTTGATGGTCTTTATCTCTACGTTTCGAATTTTAAGTCCGCCATCCCCGTCAGGCACTCCATTTGTCCCCGTGACGAGTTAGCGGGTAACGTATTTGCCTGCTGGGAACCAGCAGTCTGATGGACGGCTGCCTAACGGCGATATCGGGCATAGAATCCGAAATACAAAGAAACGAGCTTTACCTACGATGTTGTAATATGGTTGGTGATGTTAAATTATTGGTACAGTTCCACTGTCTTACGTGCTTGGGTAAATTAGCAGAATGGTCAAAGGCTTTATCTAGCAAGAGTTCACGACGTCAAACATTTACTCTGCATTATTCCTATTACTGCGGTAAATACTGATAGAAACAGTAGTCAATTTGAAATCATAAATGCGGCACGATTTCCCCATTATCATAATTTTATTTTAATTTATAATTAATTATAGGGGAAAAGGCTCATATAGGAAAATCATTCAAGTACAATAGTTACAACACTAGTTGCTTTGATATGCCATTGATTTCGGACACTTTCGTCATAAGCTAGTAGGGGGGGGGGGGTGATACGGTCTTTGTTAGCGTATTAAGCTTGTCATCATTCAACCGCTGAACAAATGGGTCTATATGAATATTTTGTGAAACTGTGTATGAGTAAATACGCGTAGAAATCTCTTCGTCATTAGGATATGAAATGTTTGGCACAGCAAAAAATACGATGTGAACGACACTCTCGTAGATTTTGATTGTTTATGTAATGCCGTCACAAGTACTTAGACTAAGATTGTAGTCTTAAACGTACACACTGTTTCTCTGAAGAGAAGCCAGCTTTGTTGGGTCATTTGCTTACTAAAGACGGGGTAATAACAAGATGACATTACTCACACGTTCGTATAGAGCGGTGGTTTACCCGAAACAGCAGTCAGCATTGCAAATACGCCTCACCATTTTTGGCAGGGGGCTTACAAAATGCAAGTATCTACATCAAAAAACTGTGAAACGCTACCAGATGGTTAGTAGTCCACCATTTATTTGTACCACTTTAGGTATCAGCAGTTGACTGGTTTACGGTACGTGGCGCACTACCCACCGGAAAATGGCGCATCGATCATAAAACGCGGGAAGGGGCTTTTGCGTAATGGAAACAACCTCGTCGGTCGTCATATGCGGGAAACATTCTCCAGTGATTTCTATTTAGGTGTTGAGATGTTCCATTGTGAACGCGTCACTGCACTCTGACACATTTACTTCTTTCCACGTTATCAGGTATTTTGTATTTCAGAGTACATTAAACAACCTTCAAAATAGAATATTAATAGTAAAAACAGAATAAATAAGTACAATACATAGCATATAGCGCAACGGTATTTGAGCAAGGTCTCCATTGTAAGCCCACGTGGCTGATCCTGACAAAATCGTATCTCGCAAAACGGTAATGGTTTATTGTTTGCATAGTGTGTATTGAAGTTGCAATGAGTCTTAAATTACGATCAGTTCATGAAAACTATACGTAAAAATTAGATATGTGGTCAAGTGAATAAGCTAGCTAAGGGGTGTGCTTTGTACGCTTGTCGGATTTAAGTCCATTGCTGGCTTTACCATGTTTACCGTCAGCACTTTCAACTGAACTTTTCCAGAATTGATGACAATAACGTAGCTTATCATTACTAATTATGCCGCGAGACAATGATCAATCCGAAGTGTCCTGACTCTTTTAGCAGTCCTGTAGTTTTTCTAATGCTCTCTACAGAACAGGCTGAATGTCTTCTATTTGAGAATAATCCTGCAAAATTTTAGGCTAGTCATGAGCTAGACAAAAAAAGATAGTGACCTTAAGGAGAGTTTACTTAGGGCTTTCAACTACAATAAGTACTAATGTGCATTAGAGATAGACGATCAGCTCAAGTCAGCCCACCAGACAATCGAAATCTCCTTGACATTAGACGCCGTTCGCTTCGCCAATAAATCAACGAATGTTTTAAAGATGCAAAGACTTTCAGGTGAAAGTACTCTGTCGTACTATTCCCAATGGCATTGCACATTGTGTTTTTTAGAGCAAGTAGATAGGCATTGGCTTTGCCACGATAGTACCAATTAACGCTTACGATCGTACGCATATGGGGCACGTCTATCATAGCAGTCCGAAGTAAGGACAAAACGCAACAATTCCATTGTAAAACTTTGAAAAGGCACTCCTTAAAAATGTTTTCAGTCACGTCCAGGTGTAGCAGTATTAAATTCATTGTTTGCAGTCATAGTAGCAGATGCATATTATGATATACTTAGGTAGATCTGGCGCAAACAAGAAAGGGATTCGTGGTGAACGCAAACAGATGTAACTGGCGTAAGCGTAGTATCGTATATATTTAGCTGGCCGTAAAACTCGGAGTCTCAGGTTCGACCGGTGTGAACATACTTAGTAAACCCGATCATTGTAATGCCCAATGAATGAATACTTCTTTGTTGCAAGTTCAGTGCAAGAGCTCACGAATTTATAATGAAGGGTCGAATTGTACAATGGTGGTGAAGTTATATCGAAGCTAATAAAGGTTTATATTTCTACGAGTAGGCAATTCTAAAATACAATGTCCTTGTTTTTTTGTCAAGATTTTTGGACAGGTACTTTGCCTGGAAGAGGCACCCTGTCCTGGTAGGTCGTATAAATTCGATGAGGGCTTCAAATGGAAAATTTAGTTAATTGGCCGACAAGATAAAGTAGAGCACCTAACCGTCGTCAAGCGTCTTTACTCAATATGGATGAATGAAGATTCGGGACGCGTAAATTGAGTGGAAAACGCGAGAAAGCATAACTCATTGTTTCTTTCTTGTGACCTCGGCAACGTGCAACTACGATGACGGATTTCTGCACAAACATACTATAGACGACGAAAAACGTCTCAGTTAAGTGGGACTGGCCAACAGAGTAACAGCAAATAAAGCAAAGCTGTCCTTCTCCACGACAAAATCGGACCATATACGGCAAAGACTGTTAAGGCTATCTTGCAAAACTTCGAATAAAAAGTCATCTTACATCCACTAAATTCTCCAGGCGTCTCGCCGACAAATTACTAATTTTCCGATTGCTATTGAGCTAATTGTTGAAATTGCAGAATTGAACGAACACGCAGAAGATCTTAGAAAAGTATATAAACAAATTCAACATTTCTAGCTGTGCTGAGTAAACAGATTCATTAAAATGAATGGTAGAGAAAAGCGTACGAAATGGCAGACTTTCTAATAGAATACAAGTGATATATTATGTGTTTTTCAGTAGGTAAAAGTGGTAATTTTTTTCGATGAACCTAACATGATATTTTAGTATGGCATATTTAAACGCTAGCTGCATGTGATGGCAATAATTACGGATTTATGAAATTCTCCTCTATTAAATCTGTAATCAAAGTGGCCTAAGGTACTTACGCGAAATTCCAATAGTGAGCCGCCTATCGACGTTCACAACGTACTCATAAAACGATAATTATTCCATGTATATGCGTTGAGGCATTGTAAAAGTTGCCATTAAAGGATCATGTCGCTAGAGACGGCGGACTTTACGAGCTTTGTTTGGACAATATCCAACAAAGCTGTTATCGAAAGCTGAATATCGACCGAGAGCAAAAGGTGAAGATCACTAACCGCCTTTTACGGACGCCATCCTTTGCCTGCTCGCTTGCATGCCGCAGATTAGGAGTATTGTTAAATGTAGCAAACAGTTAACGACGATAGCTTTCTGGTATCTGCCCAATGGAATTGGGCATTTTTATAGACATAGCGTTTTTGTGCGAGTAGTTACAGGTATATATACACATATTACTATTTAAGGGAAATCCCTCTTCCTGTTTCTGTCGCGTAAAATGTTGCGTTGCCTGGTAAAAAGCAGCAGGACAATTGAGGACAGGAATTTTAGTGGTATTTCCTTTCCTTTGTGACTGTAACCTAGGTCGGTATTTATATATAGGGCAGCCGACGTGGGTTACGCCAATGTTCGACACGCCGATGACGGAACCGCTCAGCTAATAGTCAAAATTGTGCCCTTTACTTTAGTTAAACGTTCATTCTACAAATTATTACATTGAAATATATGATTTCTGATAGCACCCAATAGTGCACGTTTCTTGATCTGATATATAGAAAAGAAAATTTATGAGAAATTACAGATCTAGGTCCGTCTCATAGGAAATGTTCATTAGTTCTACAAAAGAAAACTTAAAAACAGGAAATCTACTTTAGGTTATTTCCTGCTCCTGTCGCTTCAAGTGATCTGAATCTCAAGCACTAACGATTGAACATATAAATTAAACTGTGTTTGCTAGTTTACATTGTTCCGCCGGTACACTAAGCGCTGTAAAGTACTTTACGTGATAGACGCTATTCATGCTTGGATGTTTAGACACGGGTTAAAAGAGCTGTAGCAACTATTTTTGAACTATCAGCAAGAAAACTTTTTATGTATGTAACGTGAAAAAAAACTTGTGCCTAGAAGCAGAAAGGTATCTGTAGAAATTTGTCTGCATAGTTGAATATACCTATGATGATACCATGAAGCGTAAAAATATAGAATCCAGTAAATAATTCACAAGAAAACTCTATTATACAACAAGGCTTGCTGCTGACCAAAAGGCTAGGCCTGCAATTCTTCGTTGGAAAGTACGCCTCTTCATATCTCGGGCATAGAAATGCGACACAAACTATAATATAGCCTCAGAATGCCTTTGAAGGTATCGGTGCCATCAGCTGTCTTTTCTAAAATATTCAGAGCATGGGGCGTACATGACGCCCCCCGTGTCAACTGTATTCAATGAACTTAATTAAGGGATTTTAATTTCCACGGGAAATTGTCTCGTATATGTGTTGAAGCAATCACGGTTCACACAACGCCAGTGCCGAGTTCAAATCTAACCAACGATAGGAACTTCTGTGAAAAGCTTTATGCGTTACATCTACTATAGTATCTATATATATATATAGTAAAAATGTTTGTAATGAGGATGTAATTAAAATTACATTTATTTAGAACTGTGTTAAAATTGTTGATGAAATGGCGTTTATTCCTACAAAGTTATTTAATATTACTATGACAGGAACAACAGTTAGAAGATGTGTTTTAGTAAAATCTATAGCGTTTAAATAACACGTGAACGATGAAAAAAATGAGTGATATGCATACGTTTTATCTAATAAAGCTGCCCAGTCTTTTCTATATATAACAAATTTGCATCTTAATTTTTTTTCCTAAAATCAATTCTGTTTATTGTTGCTGAAACACATCTCGTTCGTCAGTATTCTAAATTTAAGTTAAAAAAAAAAATAGTCTAGAATACTGTCATCCACTCGTAGCAGCAGTAAAATGGTTGCAGGATCAGTTAAATCAAGAGTCCTGTAGAATGAAGGTGATATCGAACGTCACTTATTGAAGCAACCTTAATTGTCCTCATTGAGACGCCACGGCAGCGATTCCCTAACAGACCAATTGTATTATGGTCGTTCGTTAAAATGACTCTTATCTTCAGATTGTAAGTTCTATTAAGTTTGGACATGACGATCTGCTACTTATGCGGAATTACTGAAGTAGCAACATTAGAAAAAGGACTTCTCTATTCCGATTGGTCGGAAGTTCGTACTAATGATATCCTGATATGTAACTGTAACGCATGATCTGTTATAGCCATTCGTGTGAAAGTTATAATAGATTTATCAATATGCAGACTGTTTCCTTATGAAATCGTCAGTACAATAGCTTCATCGAAGTCAAATGTTTTATAAAAGGGAACTGCTTTCCTGCAGCAGGAACGGTAATTTTGTGCAGTCAACAAAATTACTATGAGTATCAAAAAAAAAATGAAATCAGGGTGGGCAATTTTAAACGTCGTCGTGCACAAGGTGACGCCATGACTGCGTGGGCATTATTCTTTATAATAGCATACTGATATGTTCCAACAAACTATATGGCAGTGTTTTTTTCTTTTTAGGAATGGCGTAAACGTTTCCTTTTCAGGTAATGCCAGTGAAACAAAGTTCAAGCTAACAGTCAACCGTAACAATTTATCACCTGTGGTTGTAGAGATTTTAAGTTTGCTTTTTTTTGAATAATAGCGAACTTAATTTTGGGCCTAAATGCCTTGGGGTTATGGGGGTTATGGGAACAGTTCCAAACCATTTGCTCGCCAGCAATAAGCAAAATCAAAGAGGACAAATTATTAAGTTTAATTAAGCGCCTCTAATGTATTTTTTAAAGTTAAAACTATAATAAGAAAAAGATGCTATGGCTTAAATAACACAGTTGTTATCACTTTTTTTCTGAGGCACTATAAACAACTTAAAGTATTTTGGCTGGGGGCTAGAATAGAGCAAAAATCCCTAAAAAGGGATTAGCCTTTTTTAGGAGTTATTGTTTATTTACTGTTACTAAATAGAATGGTAACATAGAAAAATGACTTTTCATAAAAAGACTTTCTAACAGTCTGCCCCTTTTACAACACGAGGGCATTCGACAAACTAGAATGTGCCGCCAGAAAGACGACCTTACTTGTGCCTGAAACGCCCCTTTATGCCTGATATTCTTATTTTAATAAACTGTTTCGCTTGTTCGAGTAAATGATTTTGTGGGATTAAATATGATTCCCATGAGGTCTGTCCCATTTTTGTAGTCCACGATGTTCTCCGTGTGAACTCTGAAAGCCAGGGGTTTTTTTGACCGCGCTGACGCGGATCTCTAAGAACGTCATCAGTGGAAATACAGTTTTATACTGTTGAAGAAATATGTTAATAGTGATTGTCTACCAAACGTAGCGGTTAACGTATTGACGATCCAATTAGATTATTGCGAAAATATACACACTCAGATTTCTCAAAAAACAAAAAAAAAAACAACGCCTTAGCTTTTGAAGTGGCCCCTTGAAGAAACCCGCTCAAAGTATTGCCACTGCTTATATCCGATATCTGTATTGAAAATAAAAAGAGAGTCTATGTGAAATGTACAGAAGTAATAGTATTTATTCAAATTCAAAGATAAAAATCTGATATATATATATATATATATATATATATACACAACACTCAATTGGTTTAAGGTGCACGACCAGTCTTTCTTAAAATAAGGAATCAGACTTTGTGTCTGGAAATTCACTACGAGAACACGAAGTTCCTAAAGCAAACAAAAAGTAAGTCTACAATGTTAGTTTCCGTGATGATGCGCAGTGATAAGCTGTTGATGTTTTTTATTCGTAGATAAATGCATTTCGTGTCAGTCGTATGAAGTAGTGACCTTTTGCGAACGAACTCAATCCAGATTGACTTCATCATAACCTAGGCGTAAGTTCGGCTCTGTTGTTGTGTTAACTATTCGCCCTACGATAGTTCTCCTATTGCCCTGTTTCAGGTAAACCTCCGCGTTGTTTGTCATTTCGCTAGTTTGCAACGTTTAGACCGTCACAGACCGTTTCAGACCGTTTCATAACTTTTTTTTTACCTACGCGAAGATCGTTAAAGGTGTTTTGAATGAATAAGACTGTGTTAAGAGGATAGGAGGAACTATATGCTGACTACGCGTTCCCGACGCTTACTAAGCATACGAAAAAAAAGTATTCGTATACAACTAACTTATACGTTCTTCTAACCTAACGTTGCTTGCTGCGTACATAAATGTGTCGGCTCGCTCTTCGATCATCTTTGGCAATGCTATCGAAAAGATTCGAAGATTTACCTTCAGATATGTTAGCCTATATCTAAGTTTAAGGCAGACCATCGTACGTTTGATATAGGCCCCTATAATCTCATCGGATATTACGTTGGCGCTTGAGGACATGCTTTCCGCAGCGGAAAGGCGCTAGGAATGGTCCGAAAGAAAAGGTAAATCGGCTAGAGTTTGACACTTGAGAAAGTGTATAGTTAGGCTAACATAGAACTACTGTTAATACGAGCATTCCATAAACCACTATTGTAAATATAATACATTACCAATCACTTCCCTTGGTGCCATGAAGACGACCTTAAATTAGGTTTAACATTAAGTAACACATCGTATAACAGCAACTTGTTTTTTTTATAATTATTAAGCATTGGAAATTATTTTGCTTGAATAATTTTAGCCAAAATTTTAGGCCAGTCAAAGTTGACTGACGGATAATTTCTGACATCTGCACATGTGACAGTAAGTTATTTTTCAAGGATACATCCCATTCGATCCTGGCATAAAAGTTCGTAGAATCAAAACAAACATTTGCTATGAAGCGTTGCGTGTGACTTTATGTCATCTTTCGGAAAGTCTCTTTATATCTGTGTTTATTTTATATAGTTCAATAGAAATTTTTGATCGTTTGGCTACTGGACAGTCTACATGGTGAACTATTTATAAGAAATTGACCCTTTCGAGAATCTGAGGACTTCTCTGATTAGGTTAGCCCCAAAGGGCGGTCTCACGGTTAAAGATGCTGACCGACGTAGCAAAAAGAGAACTACGATGAGGCTGAAAAGGTGTACAAAGAAATATATGTGGAAAAATATAACGTATTGTTTGTCATCTCGGTGGATTTCGCATTTGGTCGCGCTGGTCAAGCAGTCGTTTAATACGTAATGGGAAAGGCTACAACTGAATACACATTGAACACTTTCTGCCAGTCATGAAATACGTCTACGTCTTGGAATATAATTCATAACAAGGAATAGCAATGTAGAATACGTTATGAAATTATGACATTTGACTTACTGTTACGTACTACGCCACAATGTAAAGGCCATTCATATCTATGCTTAAATGTATTCATGTAAATGCCCATCTATATTTCCGTTTAGACGCTCGATCACTGACAAGGCAAATATCTATTGACGAAATTACACCTCTAAATTAGATAATAGTTCAAATGAAGTCGCTTGAATGGAGTAACGTGATTATTACGCTCGAAAGGCCGTTTACAGAGGAGACCTCAGAAAGACCATGGAGGTCACGCTATCACGTCACCAGGATATGCCATAGCATCGTGAGTAAAGGTAGAAGAAGCTCCACATTTACTATATGAAGCTAACACCAAATGTAACTTTTAATGTTATTCTTTATCGTCATGCCAGCTATCATCTGTAAATATCTTATATGCATAGCAGTATTTACCGTTTTTGTTGCTCTACATAGGTTTGCAATGTACAAATCGACAGTCTTCGACTCTCAAAACATCTTCTCGTCACTACCATGTCTCTCACTTAAAAAAAAAAATGCATTCGTCTGCTAATGACCGACCCTTATATATCGTTGAAAAAACCTATTTCTCATCTATGATCATCCGATTCGGGTCATAGGATATTACCTCAGGTTGCATATATTTTGAGGTACTGATATGACGATACTAAATAACAATACAGCGTCTTGAACACATCTTGATCAAAGAGATACCGACATATTTGCGAAGGATATGATGCCCTTTATGAAGGCTTTATAGCCGAGATTAATATTTAAAAGTGGCCTGTCGCAATGTTGTTCAAAAATGGCTTTTTTGATCTAAAAACGCACTCCGCTACGCCCTTTAAGATCGTCGAAGCCCGCGCTAAGGCACTTTTGAGCAGAGACCACGATTGTCAGGTAAGTAAACCTACATTTCCTAGCTACACATAAAATCCTCATCGTCCGTGACAAAGATCCTACGTTCTTTACGAAGCTATTTGACATAAAAAAAGGTATGTAAAATTAGGCAGGTTTATTGCTGGCATATTCATCTTTGTTGCAATATGTAGCTCGTTCTGGAGGAAACGATAACAATCGATTAGGAGAGCTCTTAATTATAGAGAGCTAATTACTGGGCTACCTCTGCAGCCTGTGGGCATCGACATAGAATCCAAATAGTTTTTTGGTTGAGCTTTTTTTTAGCGTGCTATATCCACCGTTGAAGCTCGATCGAAAACTTCGTTATCTGAACTAAAGTCTGGCAATGTTTACCACAAAGGCTTGATTATGACTAAACAAAAAATAGAAAACAGAAGTAACCAACATAAATTGTTTTTTTTTTTTATGCAGTAATGCCTAACGATATATATATAAGCTCCGTTATTGTCTTTCACGCTTATTTGGCTATGCGAGTCGCCGTTATACGTTTCGGGTACCAACTAGACGAATAATATATCGTCTAATAAAAATATACCAATTATACAATCTAACTATAACGTATCCTGTGCTTAGCCCACAAAGTGCAGCATTATAGTTTGTTCGAGTGACTTTTAGCGTTTCCTATTCCAGTGACAGTAATAACGGCTGGGAGAGCTAGTCAGTGCGGGATTTCTCAGAACAATGAGCCACTGCCGAACCAGGAGGTTCTTGGGTCCATCCTGTCAACGCGGACGTGACAGCAGCGTTCAGGAAGGATGGGTGTCTGCATGACTCGTGACGGGATTAGTTCTAAGCTTCTATAAGCATGTAACAATATTGGCCACGGGAATCAGCTCAACGGAACTAGCAGTAGAAATTCGTTCTATGCTGTCCAAATGATGAGTGTGTGCGTTATCTAGAACTGTTCGCAAAGGTTTGAATATAAGAAAAAGTCATTACGAACTTATATATATATACACACCGTAATGAACTAAAATAAAAGTTGTTTAGCCATGACGATGTGAGTTGAGCCACCTGAACTGACAAGCTTAATTCTTCAAAGATTCGAGGTTCCCTTGCGGCGCGCAGTGATGTAGCATCTATTCAGCCTTATTGGTGTTGACATGTAGTTACTAATTATTGTTATTTATATTTAGCCTCTGGGTCGGATTTATCAATCTATTGACTCTTTGAACTTCGTTCCTAACGCACAGATTTAGGTAACTGTATTTGATGTTAGCTTTACTGATGTGTTCGATGTTTAAGAAGGGCATCGTAAGAGGCAAGCCTACGCCTCTTTTCTGTCTTAAATTAAATAATATGTTGTAGTGATTCTAGCCGAGTCGTCAGTTCGTGGAACTATCTCAGCTAAGCCTCAGTTCTTTCTCTATGTGACACTATAGATCATATATGTATTTGTAGTTTGTTGATAGGATCACATAACAGGGTGAAGAAAAACAAACAATCCTTAAACCTCGTGAATTTCGATGGTAACGTTAATAATATGTAGGTGTTTATTGTAATTAATGAATTGCATTAGGGAGAGAGAAAAAGAGTGATCATAAACTGTTCTATATGGACGATTTTTTTTTTCTGCTATGTTTGTTGTAGAGAAAGCAAGGCGATCAGATTTTAAGTCAATGTGGGCTGGCATTTTGGTCTGATAAAAGTATGTTCAAGGATATTGTCCAGCTTCGGTGGCCATTTCGTCTCATTTGTGCACTCCTGTTCACAGATGCCAGCCATATGGTCCTGCCGATCACAGTCGACCATGTAGACTCCTACGAATTCAGTACGTTTAATATCCCATTGTGGGTTGCAAAACCATGTCACGTTATAATGGTTGATCCAACGATCTTCTTTTCTCTCATAAGCGGCCCAATCGCGACATGCGCACCTGCAAATCAAAACCAGTTACGACGAGTTCATATGGCCAAACATTCATCTTGTTTAGAAGACAACTTACGTACAAAAAAAAAAAGGATGACAATAGATAAGTCTTCGTGACCAATTGATAGTTAATCATCCTCAATAACAATTAATTGGTCCGGTATTAAAAAGCGTCCTTTCTCCATGCCTGGATAGCTACACAGTGAATTCTAAAATACTGTTCCAATCATTCAATGAAAACCCAAAACTTCGTATATCTCTGAATTTGTTTCCTATCTTCAGATGCCTTTGAGGCACTGTTTTATGTTACAAGAATAATACTACATGACCTGTGACCTAAAAAAAGTGTTATTATCTTCCTTTTGCTTCAAATATTTATATAGTTAATGTTAATGTTAATAGTTAGAACTTCAATTCTCCTAGTGTTGGTGCAAGAAAAATGAAGGGACAAAAACAGAACAGAGACCTTCCTCTGTTAATTCCGTACGCAGCAATTTTTTCCATAAGTAAGTTTTTTTTTTCATATAAGAATGTGAAAGTGCCAGGACTGGCGCAATTTCTACCTTGCCCATTGCTTTGACTTGCTGCAGGAAGTTTCTAATAGAAGGAAATATGTCGCGATATGTTAAAGTGATATTATTGTGTTGACATCGTGCAATCGTGACCTGTCTCGATTTGCGATGGCGTGGTAGAAGATTCTTTTCTCCGGGTGATACTTGCAGACCTCGTAGATTCGTCTAGCTGAAAGATATTTCTCACTTGTGAAACGGTATTTCAGTTGACAGACGGGCGAACATGGGATCAGTTCGCCCTGTGGTACCCAGACATACGCTGGGCCGTCGGGACCGGACTCGCAGTTTGCTATGAACGATACCCAGAAATTGCAAAAGTGTTGCTATGATATAAAATCAGGCTTACTTTCCATAGTCGGGCCAGACGATGCGTATAATTAAAACTATTTTCTACTAATTTGAATGTTTGCGCTTCTGGCTAGATCGTAAAAGGTGTTAACGTTACATTTGAAGTTGCCCAATTCATATAGATCTGGCATGCATGTAGTTGAAAAATTAGAAGTTTTGGTACAGAAATTTCGTAGATGCTATAATGTATATATATAAGATATAATATATGAATTATTTATACATTATATCTATTGGCTATCGATAATTTGTTTTGGGTAGTAGGTTAAACTGAAATACTTTGAATTGTCTTAATGGCCTTTTAAATTATGTATCCGAAGTGCGGGATACGTAAAGGGTACGTGCTGACTTAAAAACCTACATTCTTTGATATTTTGCCGAAGATTTTCTAATGTTCGATACATTTGCGGAATTTACTTATCGGAAATAGATAATGTGGTAATCGTCTTCGTTGTTCCAGAGCGTCAACTCCTCTAAGTGTCGTCCCAGAAAACATCTTTTAGAAAGGTCTTTTCTTTTTTTAACAACATAAACAGGCTAGTTACAGTATGCGTTCTTCTACAAAGCTGAAAAAGGTCAATGTCTTTGTCAATGTGAAACGACGTTTCTCAGAAATTACGTTTAGTTACGTTATTCGTAATAATGTGATGATGGTATTTTTGTTTGTAAGTGGGAAGCTATATACTTGGGAAGCAAAGGTTGTTGATTCATGACTCTTAATGTACTCCGATCTAGTCTCAAAATCTCTTATCAAAGTAAACAGGGTCACACGTATGCTGTTACTGTGGAAGCTAAGGCTGGCGAACCCAGCTGCTATTGGTTCGTGCCCCGGCACTTTTACTAGCCAGCTTTTATAATTGATGCGTAACAATAAATGCTTTGGTGCGCCTTAGGTAAAGGAAAATACTAAAGTCCCTGATGTGTTTGGTTCGGAAGGAAGATTTTGCCCGAGCTGCGACTGGTCAACTTTGAATAGAGGCCTCTTTACTCGATCCTATTTCAGGGTATCTAATATAATGTACCCATTTAATAGAATAGTTTTTCTAACACTTACATCTATGCATATTTTCAGGAAAGCAGAATTGCTCGAGTTCGGCAAATTTAAATCTTCCGGCTAGCATCAACAAGCTTAACACCTCTATTTTCAGCAAAAGCGATTCCATCTCGTGGCTTTTGAGTCTATCGGCTATCACTGTAACGCACTTAACAGAGTAACTTTTTCAATTTGAACTTCACCAAATCATGTTTCACGTAACAGAGTGGGCGATACGATCGTCGTTTGTCAAGGAAGGCCTCTCAAAGAGATTGCGGAGCCTTCGATGTGATGTATCGACGTTAAAAGTAGATTACGTGCTTGGAAATGACGCAGACGACTGGGCTCTCCCTTAAATTAGGAGAGGTTTCGCTGACAGTCTGCTGTCGAATCAGAGCGTCTTATGGTATAAGCAGCTAACGGTATATAGTATCTCGGCGGACTGTACTCTACGATGGGAGGCTTCTATGTGACGTTTGAGTACGTTGATGAAGATCGAGAACGACAGAACAAGCGAATCTCGCACCGCTGTCACAGGGCTAGCCAATGAGGTCACGCGGTGTCGCCGCTTGAGTCAGCATGCAAATGCTAGCAATGCACAATCACTAGAGATGACTTTTATTTTACCAGCTTGTATAGGAATGCATCTAGCCACAAAACAGCTCAGAGTGGATCACCAGTTTCTTATTGACCAAGCTCTTAATTTAACAGGAGCTCCTTCTGCTGCTGAAGTGGATAGCACGACGAGCGTGAAAACACGAATATGATTCGTGAGTCTTGATAATTATTGTTATATTCCAATTAAACATAAAATATCCATGACGTTACTACAGCGAGCAGTTCAAGCTTTCGTAAGTAAAGAACTTAAAGATAATTAACAAAGTTGCACAGACCTAACAGAAATATCAATGCAGTTGTACGTGAGAAAGAAATATGTCATGTCAATAATAATTCTAAGGGAAGAATAGGATACATCAATCAAAATTAGGTAAACTGTTCAAGGTTGGAAAGCAGTTGTAATGGTGAGGCGGGCGAAGAGGTTATCTGTGAGACCCAACAAAAGAAAAGGAAAGATCTTCAATAAACGACTTTTTCAAGAAGTTCTGGGACTTTCAGGTTATTGGGAGCTGGTAATTGAGACCCTGGCAAAGTAATCAGTAACCGGGGTCGATGTACGAAAATACACGGGGTGCGTTGAACGACCGCGACGTGAGAGCTGATGCAATAGCATCCTTAGGTAGACTGACATGGGAAACTAGAGGGTACGGCCGAAGTTCATGGAATAAAGAGACGTCAAGAAGAGTATGTAGCGAACGGTGATCGGGAAGATAAAGACAGTACAGCGGAATTGGGAGGCAACATGTAGGCCATTGTGTTGTAAAACCTGGAATTGCTTCATTTTGCACGGTCCGAGAATAGTGAATGATGCAAAGATTTACTGTTAACGTTAGTATTTTTGGGAAGCGTCACGTGTTTACGGTAGGAAACAGTGGAGACAACATAGAGGTAAACGAATCACTGTGTGAATTTTAATTCTTTAACGCTGTTACGCATTTATAAATAAATAACTGATACAATAATAATAAAAAACTTGACCAAACTTGATAAAATACCCTAATAATAATAATAATAATTAATTGAATTATTGTAAGAAGAGCCATGATTTAGTGTCATCATTTGTCGACTTTATTATTAAGGTACAAATTTTTAGTAACCAAAATTTACTCCATAGAAAATATGACGAATTTCCATGTCAACAGCAGTATATAATATGCGTAGAAGGTAGTTCGTTGTTAACTTGATAAGATTTTGCAGTAATTGCGTCATCCGCTACGTTACAGTATAATAATGTAAAGGATTAATTTTTGTTTTTGCTCGTTTCGTAAAAAGGAGAGCTTATTGCAGATTTTTGTAAACATTCGTACTTTGTGAAATACTAACCTGAGAGCTGGCTGGTCTTTCGACTTTGGATCAAACCTACAGAACTCATGTTAGCTTCTTTGCGATAACTTTATCACTAGCAGGAATATAGATTTACGTCATATTAAAAGGTGCGGTTGTCAGTAACGCCTATGATCGTAGTATTGTTACTCTTGCAGAGCTGTGATCTAAATCTGCTCGGTGTTCGTGTAGAAGCCGTTGAGGTTTCGCTTATTCCTTCGACTCCGGAAAAATCCAAGGTATATTAACTAACGTCGGTTTCTCATACAGGACAATTAATTTTAGAGTCATCTCTGATTTATTTTCCGCTCCCGTCGATGCTAATTACTTATGTTCTATTGGCTAGCATATTGTATTGGGTGGCCCACATTTGCTTACCACGTTAGAGAAACAGGGATGATTTTTGTGAATCCATACATCTAGCCCGTACATACGAATATGTAAACGATCATTCTGTAGCCTTAAGATACCTTAATCTAAACGAAGGCATTGCGGTAGCATACGCTGATCGGAGAGATAACCAGATCGACTCGAACTTGTTGGCTCTGGTCGATTCCTCTCTGGAAGCTTGCTCTTCGCTAACTGTCGAATTACTGGAAAATGTAGTTCAAATAACAGCGGACCCATGCACTGAGTTTGGACAGTGAAAATTCACGCATTAGAAGAGCGGAGAAACCAACTCGTTCTTTCCCATTTGAGAGATTAATCTCAAGTTAGATAAATGCTAGTGGAACCTAGCTTTCCTTAAAATCATCTAAAGTTGTATATACTTTTATCATATCAGCTAAGATTTTTTTTCTTCTAATGTCTTCTGTTTTATGTTCACGTCTGCTCGACATATTACTTGTTTCTACTAAATCAGGCAAGTATCTACTTTTTTTGTTTTGTTTTGTTTTCTATGTTTTTCTTTCATTTTCAATAACGTTTACGCAACCTTATATGCTAGACTATGAACTTACTCGAAATGAGTTGTTTTCCCAGTACCTCAAACTATTCACATTGTAGCACCTTTTGATTGTTTGACGCTTGTGGAACTTATCGCGCATCTTGCGTCAGTTATCCAGCAGCCTTCATAGTAACGCTTAAAATCCGTTTTACAAACTCCAACTATTGCTCCTTACTGGCTGATAAGAAATTATTCATTGATGATATCTGTTAATTTCCCCCGTAAATTAGCAACACATGCCGCTTCTTAAGACACATCCTGGACCGGGTCAATATTTAACAACGACTTTTTCCTATCGTCATCTATGCAACCCAAAGCAGAATGTGTTGGAAAGAAGGTACATGGCAAGCAGTTGCGTACGCCTGTATAAAATCTACGCATCGCATAACAAACGAATTATACAGACGGTATATGTCGCCCTGCTATCATCAAAGTTCCAGGGTACCTTGCATGCGTCTATCTCTGAGTATTTGAAACAGCAATCAATGTCGTCTGGGACTAATAAAGATTTCTCGCTACCCCAGTATCCATAATCGCTCATATAAAAATACCAACAAAATAATTTTCAGGGAAACGGCTGAAAAAACGATTTTTCCCGCTGTCGAGGTGTCTCCTGCGGCGGACGAAAGCAACGCACCTTATTGCCATGGCATAAATGATAAGTTCGATATGCACTATACGACAAACGTGATTAAATCAAGAAGTATACACAGAAGCATCAGTACAATTGTAAATCCTGTATTTATGGCAAGAATTGATACGAAGAATCCCGCGAAGACTACCTAAATCAGCAGAAAAATTTAACAGTTGCTGTGCCATAAGCGACCTGTAAGATTAGTTCCTCTAGAGCTTATCTAGCGATTATGTCTCTATAGTATGAAAACTGGATTCGTCCGTCCGTCTCTCTGTCTGCCGCCGTGTCTGTCCAACCGGAATTGGCTCTGTAGTGTAATTGCTTTGAGTCGCTTTCTCTAAGACGTTCGATTTCCAGAAATCAGCTTTTGTGTGACATTTTACTAATTGGATGAATGGCTTATTTTTCGAAAGCGGGGTATAGATTGAACCTCTTGTCTCCTAGAACGTAATGCTTATTTGAGCAGATTGACCCTCTTCGACAATCTTAAATGTTTCTGAGAGAGATACTGTTTGTTTTTTTTTTGAGCTTTATACAAAAAGATCAAAATTTAGGGATTCTTTTTTTATTTTTGCTGAAGCATGAATCTCGGCAATATGGTTTCACTTCGTTTCGCTCGATTGATACTTTTCTTGAGGCAGTTTCTTGTATGAGATGCAATGCTAATTTGGTTAACTTGCAAAAAGGTTTACAGTCTTCTCTTCGATTGTTCCTCTTAATGTTCTTCGGTTGGATGAATATTTTTCTACGAGATACTTTATTTGTCATAAGGCAAGTTTAAGTAAGTTGACGCTTTTTCTGTCAGTTGTCCATACGTTCGCTGATAGACTTGATAAAGTGCAAGTGACAAATAGTGTACACCTTTCGATTACCATTGAGTATCATTACTGTTGAGGAATACTCTTAGCCGAAATATATCGATGTGAAATTCGGGGAATAGATTATTGAGATTAGAATTATTGCTGCAGGAACACTTCAGTGGGATTACTCTACCTATTGTATATGCCTCAACCGTCAGTTACTCACTTCCGTCGGATTCAACGCGAATATATGTCCCGCTTAAAACGGTTGGCAAATATTGTAGGCAGATTTTCATATTTGTGTGTAACTGTAATTTTTGTCGAAATTATTGATAATATGCCTGTGCAGAATTTTAAGTAACAGACCGATGAAAATTTCAAAACTGAACAAGTACAACGGGATATTGCCAACGCGAGCGCAGAGGTAACCGTAGCAGAGTAGGTGGTGCAGCATAGATGAGGTTTTAGGTCGGCACACGACCTTACTGTGCATGTAAGAGATGAGTGAAGTTTGTTTTGACTTACATTGGTTATTTTAAAGTCGTGATCAGTTATTTCTAGTGGCAAGGTGCATATAGTGTAGTGACGGACTAAGGGCAATGGGTAGAAGAGGCAACTGAAGCATCAGAAATTAGGACATGCAGCGAAACAATAGGGTGACTGGATTCCTTTTACCTTGAAAAAAGCCATTTGTATAAAAAGCTAACAGACTAGGTGGGTCAGGGTAACTGCAAAGGGATAACTCTCAGTGTGTACCCGAGCTATCGTTTTTGTTAGGTATATAGAATTTACTAAATCTACGCTACTTTGTGTTCTTTTTTTTCAACCCGGTTTCAACTAGCAGTAATCAGCGCATCCAACAACAAGGTGACTAAATATTGAATTTTTGACACGCGTTACGGGCACAAGCTTCGTAGCTTTTAGATTAATCGATGTTACAAATTCTAGCGAAAAATTATTGTCTCTGGCAAAAAAAATGTCAGGCATCTGAGTGATGGTTAACCATCTAGCAAAAGACAATATGACATGGCAATGAGCTAGACTG